TCAAAAATGAAGACTGAAGATGTGAGGGAAAGTCATCAGGGGTCAAGAAGGTGTCTGTTGTGAGAAGTTAAGAGGATGCTGTGAATGCTGGTGTTCCTATGGAAGCTGTTCAGACCATCATTCAGGGTCATAGAGGTAGTGGCTATGGAATTAGGGGAGGATGAGCAGCATATCAGTAATGATCAGATTCCCTTGGGGGATAGGAATCACCTTGACCAGGGCACTTTGAGGAAGCCAGGAGTAGCTAATAGCAAGATCAGAGGCATCCCTGCTAAAGGTGTTAAGGAGAAGGGAAGGGATCCAACTAGCCCTTTGCAAAATAAAGGTGGTACTGAAAATAAACCTCTTAATTCTGCTTCTAGTAGACTGAAAGAGAAAGGGAAACCCAGCTTGGACCTGAAAGTTAAACTGGAAGGGCTGTGTTAACCAGGTCGTGAAGGGAAGGGGTCCAACTAGCCCTATGCAAAAGAACCAATTTGAGCAGAATATTCGGTTTAAGTTTGATATCTTAGCTCTTTTGGAAACTAGAACTTCTGGTTCTAAGGGTGATAACATTATCAAGCAGTTGGGATTCCCTAACTACTTTAAGCAGGAGGCTGATGGGTATTCTGGTGGGATCTGGATCCTTTGGGATAATAAGGTGGTTGATCTTGAGATCATCTCAACCCACCACCAATTTGTTCACACTAAGGTAGTGCATTTGTTGTCTATGAAGATTGAACTCATTACATTTGTTTATGGGAGCCCTAGGAGGATTAAGAGGAGGATTCTTTGGGCTGAGCTAGACATCATTAGTCAATCAATTCAGGGGGGGTTTTACTTGGAAGAGGGGGAAGCTCCATGAGAGAATTGACAGGGCTTGCTCCAATGAATCTTGGGATATCCTCTGGCCTGACAGATTTATATCTCACTTACCTTTTTTCAATTCTGATCATAGGCCTATACTGGTGGCTCAGAGTGGTCCCCCTAGACCTGGTGATCATACCATAACCTTCAAGTTCATGGCTGCTTGGCTAACTGATCAAGACTTTGGTAGATTGGTCAGGAACAGTTGGGGTAATAATATTTGTTGGAACCAGGCAAGGAGCAAGTTTGATAGGGAAGCCAAAGAGTGGCACCAGAATGTTTTTAGGAGGAATTTCCATCAGAAAAATAAGATTTATGCTAGACTGAGGGGTCTTGACAGTTACAGAAATGGGAGCTTTGACCATAATTTGGAGATTCTGCAAAAAAACTTATGGAAGGAGCTTCAAGGCATTCTTCTTTCGGAGGAAATAACCTGGTTTCAAAGATCTAGGTTCCATTGGCTGAAATATGGTGACAAAAATACAAAGTTCTTCCACTCTTCCACAGTGATGAGGAGAAGGATGAACAGAATCCTTACTCTCAAGGATGAGAATGGGATTTGGATAGATGATCCCAAGGTTCTGGTTAATATGGTTGTGTCCTATTATCAAAAGCTTTTCAAAGCTGATCTTCCTGATGATGGATTCTTTCCTATTAAGGGTGCTTTCCCTAAGCTGTCAGATATTGATAATCTAAGGCTTGGCCAGATTCCTAGCAGGGAGGAAATTAGGAGAACTATTTTTCGTATGGGAAAGTTTAAGGCCCCTGGCCCAGATGGCCTTCATGCTATCTTCTTTCAAAGCCAGTGGGATATTATAGGGGAGTCAGTTATCCAAGTGGTTCAGGAATGCTTTCAAACCCCTGAGAAAGTAAATGAGATCAATAAGACTTTTATTTGTTTGATCCCCAAGAAGGACAGCCCTGAGAATATGAAGGAGTTTAGGTCAATTAGTCTTTGTAATGTGATTTACAAGATCATTACCAAGACTATCTCTGATAGATTGAGGGATTTAATGCCCAAGCTAATCTCCCCCAACCAAAGCAGCTTCATTAAGGGCAGACAAAGTGCGGATAACATAATTGTGGCCCAAGAAGTTTTACATTCAATGAGGAGCAGAAAAGGTAGTAAGGGGTGGATGATGATAAAGGTTGATCTGGAGAAAGCCTATGATAGGCTTAGCTGGAATTTTATTAGAGAAACCTTGAGGGATCTTAGTCTCCCTAGCTCTCTGGCTAATCTGATTGGTAGATGTGTCTCTTCTGCCTGGTTTCAGCTGTTATGGAATGGTGTGGCCACTAGAGATATCATTCCGGAGAGAGGAATTAGACAAGGGGATCCCTTATCCCCTTATCTTTTTGTCATTTGCATGGAAAGATTGGCTCAACTTATCCAAGTAGCTGTTGATGTGAAAGCTTGGAAACCAGTGGTGATTAATAAAAATGCCCCCCTCTCTTACATCTGTTCTTTGCAGATGATATTATTTTTTGTGCTGAGGCTAGCCTTGACCAAGCTCAAGTGATAAATCAAGTCCTCAAAGTGTTTGAGGAGGCTTCTGGACAAAAGGTGAGCAGGGAGAGAACAAGGGTCCACTTCTCTAAAAATGTGTGTTTTAACAAGACTAAGGAGATTAGTGATTGTCTAGACTTCTGTATAGCTGCTGATTTGGGCAAATATTAGGGGGTACCTATGCATCACAAGAGAATTTCCAAGAAGTCTTTTAGTTATGTGCTGGACAGAGTTCATGCAAGGCTAACTTCTTGGAATCAGAAGTCCCTCTCTCTGGCTGGTCGTGCTACCCTGGCCAAAGCTGTATTGGAAGCTTTGCCTGCATATACTATGCAATCTTCTGCTATGCCTTTTGGGGTGTGTAGAGAAGTGGAGAAGCTCACTAGAAGTTTCTTATGGGGATCCAAACTGAACCAGAGAAAGACTCATTTGGTTAATTGGACCAAAGTCTGTCAGCCTAAGAAGGATGGAGGGTTAGGCCTTAGGGACCAGGTGAAAATAAACAAAGCTTTCTCTATGAAGCTTGGTTTTGGCCTCATCAGTAAGGTGGAGGATCTTTGGGTGAAGGTGCTTAAAGCCAAGTATAAGGTTAATGATGCTATGATTCCTAATATCCCTGTATCTAAAAATGCTTCTAATGCTTGGAAAGGCATTCAGCAGGTTTGGGGTCAGGTTCAAATGGGTGCCAGAATTTTGCTTGGTGATGGCAGGAACATAAAGTTTTGGGAGGATAGCTGGTTACCTGGAATCAATAGACTTCTTGATGAGGCTCAAACTGAAGTGCCTGAAGCTATCTCCAAGTGGAGAGTGGCTGACTGTGTATCAAATGAAGGTGATTGGAAGTGGGAGCTGCTGAATCAATTTCTACCTGTGGGCATTACTTCTGTTATATCAGGTATCCCCCCTCCTAAGGATTCTGATGACAGAGATAAAGTTATTTGGAGCCATTCCTCTTCTGGTACTTTCTCGGTGAGCTCAACTTATTCATTTCTCTGCTCTCCTCAGTCCAGTCAGGATGCTGTTGACTGGGGTTTAATTTGGAGATGGGGGGCCCAACGAATTAAAGTATTTCTATGGTTGCTTTATAGTAATAAGATTCTATCCAATGCTGAAAGGGTTAGAAGGCACATGGCTGATAATTCAAGCTGTCCCAGATGCCAATTTCCAGTTGAAAACAGGGATTATATTTTTAGGAGTTGTGGGTGGACCAGGGATATCTGGAAGCACTGGATTGATAGTGCAGACAGTGGGCAATTTTTTAGGTTACCATTTGATAGCTGGATGATGATGAACCTCAACTCCAAAGGTCAGAGTTCTGATTGGCAACTTAAATTTGGTGTGATCTGTTGGTATATATGGAAGGAGAGGAACAACTTTATTTTTAAAGGTCAAAGCTTAGATCCCCCAGACCTTCTTTAGACAAATTTCTATTCACATTGTGAGTACTACTTCTGCCAATGATGTGCTGAAGGGGACAGGTCTTGAGTTGGAGCCTGTGAGAGAAGTTCGGGTCAGCTGGAGGGCTCCTTCACAAGGCTGGCTTAAGTTTAATGTTGATGGATCCTGCAGGGCTAATGGTTGTGATTTGGCCTGTGGTGGGGTGCTCAGGGATGAACATGGTAACTGGATACATGGCTTTTCCAGAAAGCTTGGGCATGGGTCAGTTTTAATGGCAGAATTGTGGGGCATCTTGGTAGGGCTGCAATGGATTTGGCAGAAGAATATGAGGAATGTGGTGCTAGAGGGAGATTCCCTGGCTGCATCTCAGCTGATTGCACATGGGTGTGTTAGTTCTCATCCTTGCTTCTTTCTTGTTAATAGGATTAAAGAGATGATGTTTAGTCATTGGCATGTGGATATTTTACATACACATAGAGAAGGCAACCGAGTTGCTGATTGGCTAGCCAAACTCAGGGTTGATAATAGTTGGGATACGCATTGGTATAGCATTCCACCAGATGGGTGTAAGGACATAGTATTAGAGGATTGTAGGGGCATATGTACAAGTCAAATGCTCTGGAAAAGTGATGTATGAGGTTACACTTTTAGACTGTAAGGTCTAAAGAAGTTTCTTCTTATGTAAGGTTTGTAATACTTTAAAGAGTAAATACCATTTTTCGTCCCTGGCAATTTTCACGAGAAACAATTTAGTCCCCGACAATAAAAAAGGCTCATTTTAGTCCCGAATTTTTGAAAAAAAGAGCCACTTTTGTCCTTCTGTTAGTTGGAATGTGACGGTCCACTTGACAGAGCACAGCTGGATCGTTAGTTAGCTGAGTCACTAACGTCACGGCCACGTGGAAGACAAAGGAACGACGTCGTTGTGTTATATGCTAAGGCCCTAAGATGTAACTACAAGCGGACGACGACGTTTGGTTAAAGGAAACTTCTTCAACCTTGGTGTTGACTCACTTCACACACTCAGACAACAAGTTACTTGTCCATACCCACCATTTCCTCTGCTCGTGAGCTTCGTTTTCGGTGAAGGTTGGTGAGGAACAGTGGTTTGTTGGTGCACGTCTCGTCTGCAGTTGCAACCATCTGGTGGTTTTTGTTGAAGATCGTTAAAACGGTTGTGAGTGTGGTGACATTCCTTCAAGGTACGTGGGAGAAATCATTTCTTTATTATCTGTAGTCCCTTTACCCTTTTTGGTCATTGTCTTTTTGTTTAATGTGGTCCCCCATGTGCGGTTTAGGGAAAGAGATTGTTAGGGTTTTATATTTTGGTCCCCTTTGGTATTTTATTTTTGGAACTTGTTGCATGTGGTCCCCTTGTCGATTTGCAAATTGCTATGTGTAGTGATTAGTGGACCCAAGTTTTTACCAACGGAGCCTATGATAAAAAATATTGGACTGGTATTATTGTAATTTTGATAATACATGATTGGTTATATGATACTGTGAAATAATATTATTGGCCGTATAAAAAATGATTGCAGTTCTGTTTTCTATGCAGATGGATGAATATATAGTCATGAGATATCATCATGGGGTGTGTTGGTTAGAATGATGAAGGGAAGCTGAATTATGTGAATGGGAGAGTGGATGATTTACCTAAAATGGATGCAGACTATGTAAACCTTCGTGACCTTGAAGCTCTGTTCAAGGGGTATGGTTACCACAAATGTAGGCAGATGTGGTGGTTGAATCCTGGTGAGAGTGATTTAGAGGTTGGGTTGCATCTTCTTGAAAAGGATTCTGATGTTTTGCAAATGGTCAAGGCTGCCTTAAGTAATGGGAACAAAATAGACATATATTTTGATGGTTGCATTGCAGTTCCTAAGATTTTGGCTGGGCCTGCAGAAGGGAGTGATGGGTCTGTACCTCAAAGTGCTGATGAAGAGGGGGTCTTAGGTGATTCAGTTGGGAGTTCGTGTGACTTCCATATGACTTCTGCTGATGAATATGAAGAGGGAGAGGGAAATGGACTGTCAAGTGATTCATATGACAGTGTAGAAGATGAGCCTTTCAAGCCTCCTCCACCGGGTGTTGATGACGAAACAGAGGATGAACTGGATCCAAGTGAGGATGAGCCACTTATGTCATTGAAAAAAAAGGTGAAAGGAAAGAAGAAGAAAAATACAGGGAAGAAAACTTGGAAGAGGATGAGCAGAATATGTCATTTGAAGAGGGCTATGGTTACAATTCTGAAGAATTGAAGACTCCTCCTTCAAGTGGGGATGAGGAGGTTGAAAGGGATGTGTTTCCGAAGTTTAATGAGGAGAATTCTTTTGGTCATGTACAGCTCGAGCTTGGAATGGAGTTTGTCAGTTTAGAGCACTTTAAACATGGTGTGAAAGACTACATTATAAGTCTTGGGAGGCAATTTACGTGGGTTAAGAATGACAAGGTAAGAGCAAGGGCCAAATTCTCAAATGAAGACTGTGAGTGGATGATTTGTTGTGCCTGGAACAACAAATCCAATAGTTTCCAAGTGAAGACATTCAATGATAACCATTCTTGCTGCAGAATTTTCAAAAATAAAAGGGTTAGTAGGGATTGGGTTGCAAAATAGTTGGAGAAAAGGCTGGCCACACAGCCCAACATGACAAGGGCCGAAGCTTATGAGCATTTAAAAGAGGAGTACAAGGTCCATGTGCATATGAAGAAAGCCAAAGGCATAATAGAAGAAAATGAGAAGGAACAGTATGGCAAGTTAAGGGACTACCTGGGTGAGCTTTTGAGGAGCAATCCTGGCTCCACTTGCCAGATGCAAGTAATACCACAGGCAGTGCCTAATAGCCCACCTATTTTTTCTAAACTGTTCATATGTCTTGATGCCTGTAAGAAAGGATTCAAAGCTGGTTGTAGGCCATTGATTGGGCTGGATGGTTGTTTCTTAAAAGGCTACTATGGGGGACAGCTCTTGAGTACAGTGGGAGAGGATGCAAATAAGAGCTTTTATGTCATTGCTTTTGCAGTGGTTGACAGTGAGACCAAAGAAAATTGGAAGTGGTTTCTGAATTTGTTACAAGAGGACATTGGCAGCCATGTAGTACATGGGTAGAACTTCATTTCTGATCAGCAAAAGGTATGTTTATTTTTTGGTTGTTTCTTCTCGTTTGTTAAATAGCCAATTGTTATGATTCTTGTTGATGCTTCATGTATTAATGCAGGGTTTGATACCAGCATTGCAGGAAGTCATGCTTGGTGCCCATCACAGGTTATGTGTGCAGCATTTCTGGAAGAATTTCATTAAGCAATGGAAGGACAAGGCCATTAGGGGAATAGTATGGGAGGCTGCTTGATGCACTATTGTGCCCCAATTCCAAAGAACAATGCAGAAATTGAAAGACTTGAATGAAGATGCTTAGGTATACCTTCACAAGATTGACCCCTCATGCTGGGTCAAGGCCTATTTTACTTACTGGCCCAAGTGTGATAACATAACTAACAACATGGCTGAGGTGTGGAATGCAAAAATTGTAGAATACAGGTCCAAGCCCATAATCAGTCTATGTGAAGAGCTTAGATGCTATATCATGAGGAGGATGGCTGCCCATCAAAGAATTCTTGGAACAATTAGGGGTAAAATTGCCTCAGCCCAACAGAAGAAGCTGGATCTATTGAAGGTATTAAGCAATTCCTGAACCCCAACATGGACAGGGAATTTGGAGCAAGATCTATATGAAGTGACTAGTAAAGGTGAAAGGGTTAGAGTCAATTTAACCTATAAGACTTGTGCATGTAATGTGTGGTAGCTCACTGGATTGCAATGTGAGCATGCAATCGCTGCAATATGTCACAAGAATGAACCAACAGAGCTTTATGTCCATCAATGGCTGACAGTGGATGCTTTGCATGCCACAATGCACACACCTTGAACCCTGTCAACTTGATCAGTATTGGCCTGCATCAACTGAGCCTAAACCCATTCCTCCACCACTCAAAAGGCCAATTGGCCGTCCCAAAAAACATAGGAAGAAAGATCAAAGTGAGGAGCATGACAGCAAAACCAAAAAGTTAAAAAGGACATATGCTGCAAAGTGTGCTAAATATGGACAACCTGGTCATTATGCAAAGACCTGTAAGGGACTAGCTGCAAGCAAGAAAGGGAAGAGAGCAACACCTCCTTCAAATCCAGTTAATGTCAACATACCATCAAGACCTGAAGAGAAGCTCCCTCTAAGTCAAGGAGGACCTTCTGTGATATCAAGACAGTCCCAGGCAGCTGAGGAATCCAAAAAGGGCAACAGCCCACCACCTACTGTCCCACCACCACCAGAACAATTGTCAACTAAAACTGTCAATGCAACAAGCAGTGGCACAAGGAGCAGGCTAATGGCCTTCATGACCACACCTGGGTTTAGGCCACCAAGGCCAGCTTGAATGAAGTTGATCAGTTGTAGGTCCAGTGTTTTTTGTATAGGGGTTCAGTGTTTTTTGTATAGGCAACGGTGCTAAAAGTTTCCATTTTTTTTGAATTGTATGCAAGTTCAGTTGCAACCCCATATATTTTGGTATTTAAGGCCTTTAGGTGAAGTACCTGTTTTTTTATTCCCAATATGTCTTTGTATGGGTTTATTGTGAATCAAAAAATACATTTGTGGAAAAAGTTTGAAGGATGGTTTTTTTGTATAGGTAGGCCTGTAATTATGTAACCTTACTGTGGAAACTTTTTGAAGGATTGTAAATGTCTACTTGGAAACTTTGTCAATTGATTTCTTACCTTTGTTTGATAACTATAACTGCTTGTGGTTGGTGTTTGCTGGTTTGAAGTTACATATGTGTTTTCTGCAATATGGTTGGTCATTTCACGAGTTACATATATTAACCTTGATCACTTGTTTTTTTTTGCTGCAATATGTCTCTATATACATTTGTGGATAAAGGGTGTGATTAGGTGCTATGTCATGAATTACAATGAATCTTCGAAATGTTTATGGTTGGTGTTTGCTGGTTTCAGTAACATATGTGGTCCACATTTTGCTGCAATATGTGCATTCCATTGCTGCAATGTGTTGTGTTACAGGCAATACCTTTTAGCAATAAACAGGTCATGCCCATTTCTCAAGTTTCAGGGATTAATTAGGGCCCTGATATCAATTGTCAAGGACCAATTTGGTCCTCGATATGAATTGTCAGGGTCCAATATGTCCCTTTTGGTTATTCTGTTACAATAATTTCTGGATTTAGGGATACATTTCTCATCACATTATGGTTTGTGATACAATGCAGCAAACTGGCACATTCATTCCATGCCCAAGTATGCAATATAATACAACAAAAATAGCATTGAGTTGGCATTGGATGCATATATATATATGATGCTATCAGATATAAAGGAATACATTGAAAGCTTCTTTATTATTAATCCAGATATGTATGATGGAGACAGATTTGAACCAACACAAAATAGGCCATATAATACATCCTTCTTCATTAATTTGGATAACAAGATTACTGAGTACTCATTACACTTCATTGAAGCAAAAATACATTGGGGTCACTTGTTTTGACTGTTACAACACTAACAAAAAACATACACATGATGATCACACCTACACAAGCAGCACCTAAGACCCTAGCAACCCTACCAACATTCCAAATTTGTTTGTCCATCCTATCTAACTCCTCCACCATCTTCAGGTGTAGATCATTCAGCTTTCTTTCCTGCTCATGAACCTTCATTTCTTACTCACTAATCTTCACATCTTGCTCTCTAATCATCATGTCCACATACTTCAACTTGAAATTAATTTCAGTAACATCCAACTCCACATTGTGAATTCTTGCATCTTCCAGCTCCATCCGTTCATTACAGACGTCATCTACCCATCTAAAAAAATCACAAAACGGCTTCTTCTTCTGCCAAAATAACAAACCACGATTAGCAAGTGTTTCAACTTAATAGAGGGGGAAATTACACATGTATACCTTGAAATTAGGGCACCCAAGGAAAGCCCTGTTTGGGTTTCTCTCAATTTTGGAGGTATACACAATACTTTGTCTCCCACATTTGCACCTACGACCGGCGGTCCTTGTTAGTGTTCTTCCCCCTATTGAAGCACTCCCACTTGATTCCCCCATTCCAGAAGAAAGACTCATCTTCTCCTATGCCCCAGCAAATTCGGTAGAGGTCTTCTACTGTTGTCGATTTTCAGTCATCAACGTCCGGATGTATAGTTTGGGGAATTCTTCTGTTTAGGGTTCATTTAAGCAATTTGGGGGATTTTTGTGTTTAGGGTTGATTATTGCACATTTGAGGGATTTTTGTGATTAGGGTTCAGTGTGAGCAATTTTTCTGTTTAGATGCATGCCATTCACAAAACGTCGTCGTCTCTTCTTCCACGGTGTACCACGTCCAAGCCGCGTCAGCAAACTAACGTGCCAAATGGACACCGTTAGTTGGGTCGTTTGGGGGGAGTTAACAGAAGGATCAACGTGGCTCTTTTTTTGTTATTTCAGGGACCAATTTATCCCTTTTTTGTTGCTAGGGATTGAAATGTGCCTCGTGAAAATTGTCAGGGACGAAAAAAGGTATTTACTCTACTTTAAATGTAACTGTCAAATTTATACAATTTATATTTGTAAGCTTACTATTCCAGAAGCTAGGAGCTGGTATATTGTCATATTTATAAAGTTCTATTTTTCAAGTTCTTTGACCTTTTCAACTATTTTCTCTCTCCGTGTCTCCTCTTTCAGTTACCTTGTGTCTCCATTATTTTGATATTCAAAGGGTTTAGAGGAAAAGAAAGAGCCAGAAGGCAGTTGTTCCTATCCAAGAGCATATTTTTTGTCTCTTGTTTATTTCAAAAATATAAATGTATTGTGTTTCTTTTTCTCTTGGTTATTTCTTTGTGCGTTGCATTTATTTTTTTGTTAATTCTAAAATTGAAGCGGGTAGCAACAAAGCCAATGCCAGACAACGCTTCTCAAATAAGATACGATATTTTTGTTAACTACGGGGACAAGGACATTTACTGTGATTTTCGTAGCCATTTGATTAAGGCTTTACACCGAAAGCAAATATATGCCTTTGAAGATGATAAACTTAGAGAGTGTATCAATAAAGTTTTCTCTTTCATTAAGTTGTTTTGATCCGTTCTCTCTTCAAATATATATTGGCATGTAAATATATTAAGTGATGTTGTGATATGAAGGAAATGAGATTAAACCAACTTGAATATCATATTCAAAATAGTTCATTTACTTATGCGCCAAGAAGTTTCTCTCCTTTAAGTTGGGCTTAGGTCCAACAGCTAGCTGGTGTTGATGTCAATCAAAGGCACTGCATATCTCAGCCATAATGCCACAGCTCTACTTTCCAATGCTACAGCTCTGAGTTGCAATAAAATAACAAAGGCAATAAATGACTCTAACACTCAAATTATCTTCAAATATCAATACTTAGCATATTTTTCATTCAAACCATGAAAATACAAAATTCATGCAATAATTATGTAAAATCAAGAGAATTATGCACAATTATGGCACCAAATCATCATATATAAGCCTAAAAATAACTCTCCATCAGAGAGTTATCACACTCCAAACTCAAAATGTTGCTCGTCCTCGAGCAACAAAACACTTCTCAAGCTTAACAACCATTAATTCAGTAACATCTATATCAGAGGCTATTGTTGAGATTCTCCACATTTCTACAGTACAATTGATTGTTGATCTTCAACCATCATCCTCACTTCAACTTTAGTATTCCTTGTTAGCCTCATCTTCTCAAGGCTTCATAGCCTTTGGAAAAATCAGTGTGTGTGCTAGGAATTTTCTTTTTAGGGTTGATCCACCTTGGAGCTTCAACTTAAAAATCATAAGGCCTAGTTGTTTCATTCCATGCTTTGCCAAATCTGAATCCATATCCATGTGTACAAAACTTGAAGCGAGTGTCCACCTTACATCTTTTATTTTTAGCTTTGCCTTCCTCTTTTGTCTTGTGCTTTTGCACTTATTCCATTTTTGGGGTTTTCACCTCTCTTTTTTTTACTTTTTTTATTCAATTTTTCTGAGGAAGAACTCTTTGTGCATTGGTACTTTGTTGCTTGGCTTCTTTCACCTTTATAGCCTTTAAATTTTTTCTCACGTGATAGGATTCAAACCCATCAAATTTTTGAATCCTAATCCCTCTTCCGCAATTCACTTCTTGGTTTCTTTTGCCTTCAAGTGATTCCTTGTGCTTAGATGATCCATCCATCAGCCTTAGACTTCAATTAGTTTTTGCTTTCAATTCTTACTTTGGAATCCATATGGACCTTGGTCAAATATCACTGAATTTCACTATTAAGCAAATGCTGTAGAAATCCTGTAACAATACAGATCATAACAGAATAGACAGAGATACAACAATACTTCATCAATGTTATGCTTAGTTTTTCAGTTCTTAACATTCTTAACTCAACATCAGTTCTGAGTTTCTTTCTTGAGTCCCTTATTTTTATTCCATGTTTTGCCTAACTTCATTTATTTACATCAAAATCAAACTAAAACCTAATTAAAACAGAATACTAAAACTTGAACATGAAAATAAACTCCTAACATGATGCAATATCCTACTAAGATCTTTGTTTCATTTATTTATGTGGGCATATACACAAAAGAAAAAGAAAAACATAAAGCGAAACAACCTTTCACAAAGTGAATTTTAAATCAGAGGGGATCCATTAGTATCATCCTCTTCTTCTTCTTGCTCTCCTTCTTCTTCATTTTCTTTCTCTTTTTCACCTTCTTCTTCTTCTTCTTCCGATGCTGCAGCTTTGCCCTGACTTTCTTTCTGATCAGGGGGATTGAGAAAACCAAGTTGAGCTAGGATTAAACTATCCATATTCTTCACTTTGTCCATGATCTCCTTCCTAGTCTCTAGTTGGTCAGCCTCAATTTTCTTCAATCTTTCTTCAATTCTTTTCTGCCAAGTTGTGTCTCCTCCAACTGGTGTTGTGGAAGATGATGTTGCAGCACTCTTTCCTCGGGAGTTTAGTGAAGATGTGATTTCTCCAGCAAGTTCCTTTGCTTTCTTGCTGATCCTATCAGTAATGTAGGGTGTGATTGGTTCTGTGATCTGGAAACGTTCCTCATCATCAGCAATGGGAACATTGGCTTCTTGGCACAATCGAGTGATCAATCCAGGGAACTAGAGATAGCCAGTATCGACCTTGGCACAGACCACAATTTCAATTTGAATTATACGACCCACATCAATGGGTCTTCCATCCCAAATACAAGAGAGCAAAATTGCAGTGTGTGAAGCAGGCATCATCCTACTTTTCAGAAAATAGTACAACACTCTTGCTTCGGGTTTCAATGCACTCCTAAGAAAAGAAAGACTCTTTTGGGATGACTTAGTCTATATCATCTTCTCAACACACAAGTCATCAAGAACTTGTTTCAGAAATTCCTCATCAATGGAGGTCTTCAAAACTTGATATTCATCCACGACGGTGGGCAGATTGTATAGCTTTTTGATGGTAGAAGTGCTGAAAGATATGCTTTTCCCTCTAGCCATCACCTTAGTGGCCTTGCTCTGAGGCATGTTGGCATAGAATTCCCTCACAATAGGGGTTACTGCTTCAGTTTCATGGAGGAAAAATGTCTCCTATTGATGTGCAGAGATGATGTTGGTGATGTAAGGATTATAGGCTTCAACATCCATGCTTGCTTGCACGAAGCCCCTATCCGAAAATAGGTTCCTCTTCAGCATGATCTTGTGCATCTGCAAGACTTATAGCAAATGCTCCTCTTGCATCTTGGTCAAAAGAGATGAAATTATCATGGGCAGAGTATCATTCTCTCCCAAGTATGCATATCTCAAATGATCAGATAGTGGCTTGAGTTCTAGCACTAATGGTTCTTCTATTGATGGCTTTGGTGGTTGTGCTTTCCATTCTTGCAAATTTAGAAACTTATAATGTCTCTTTTTGAATGACATTACTGGTTGGGCATCTATCCAGGCTAGACATGCTTCTACCTCTTCTTCATCAATTGCACCTTCTTCTGCTATGGCAATCTCCAGTGGCTCCTTTTTAGTTTCTAATTCATGCTGCTGCAGCAGTGGTTCATCAGCATCTTCTATGGTAGAGTATTCCTCCATTTGACTTGGATACTTCATAGCAGTCAACACATTGAAGATTACTTGCTCATCATTGACCCTCATGGTCAAATCTCTTTTTTCAACATCAATAAGAGTTCTACCAGTAGCTAATAATGATCTTCCCAAGAGAAGAGGTACCTCCATATCTCCTTCAAAGTCGAGAACAATGAAGTTAGCAGGGAGTATAAATTTATCCACCCTCACTAATACATTTTTAATCTTTCCTTCAGGGTAAATGATGGATCTATTAGCAAGTTGTAAGGTGATAGTGGTTAGACGTGCCTCTCCGATTCCCAACTTGGTGAAAATACTCTTGGGCATCAAGTTAATGGATGCACCAAGATCATATAGTGCTTGACCAATGTAAGTGTTGCTAATGGAACAAGGTATTGTGAAAATTCCTGGATCTTTCAATTTAGGTGGCAACTTATTCAAGAACCTGTTACTTTCTTGGGTGAGAGCCACAGTTTCATACTCTTTAACTCCCCTTTTCCTAAACAATATGTTTTTCATGAACTTTGCGTAGCTAGGCATTTGCTCGAGAGCCTCTACCAATGGAACATTTATAAGCAATTGCTTCAGCATATCCATGAATCTTTTGAATTGCTTGCCATCTTACTGCTTGTGAAGCCTTTGAGGAAAAAAGGTGGTGGTCTACTTGTTTTGTCAATTGGCTGCCAATGCTGCTTCTTTGCTGCAACATTATGTTATGGACTCTTGGCTTGAGTTTCAACTGGTTGATCTCCAATGTCTTCTTCTATAACAACCTTCTCTCCTGCATTCTGGTCTTCTTGCTCCTTAATCTTGTGATATTCCTTTATGTGATCTGGCTCATCTACTGCTTTCCCACTCCTCAGCGCTATAGCTTTGATCTGCTCACTTCCATCTCTTCTTGAATTCTCAATGTTACTAGGCAGTGTACTCATGGGTCTGCTCCTTATGGCATTAGCTAACTGCCCCACTTGATTTTCCAAGTTCTTTATTGATGTTGATTGACTCTGAACAATAGCATTATTCCTTTCCATGAAGTCTTTCAGCATATTCTCCAACGACTGGAGTTGTTAGCTTGATGTCTAGGCTATTGGAATTGTTGTTGCTGCTGGAATGGTGGTCTTTGCATCTGCTGTGCTGGAACATAGCCTGACCTTTGTTGTTGCCTTTGAGAATAAGGCAAGTTATTATTGTTCCTCAATCCTTGATTATAGGAATTTGAATATTGATTATTCCTGTTATAATTTCCTACAAAAATAGACAAATTGAGGATTTTGAGGGCAATCATCATAAATATGAGGACCATTATAGAAAACACATGTTATAGCATTAGGAATATTAGAAATTGCATGTGCTTGTTGTGGCTGTGCTTTAGCATCAATGCTCAAATTCAAAGTTTTAATAGTATTATTCAAAGAGGATATATGTGCTGCCAGTGAAGACACATCAAGCTCCAGCACTCCTGCAGCTTTCTATTGTGCAATTGTCCTCTCGGATGGCCATTGATAATTGTTGTTTGCCATCCTATTTAGAATCTGGTAAGCTTCTGTAAATGTCTTGTCCAATAGGGATCCTCTAGATGATGCATCTACTATTCCACGGGTTTGCTCATTCAGCCCATTGTAGAAGGTTTCCATCTGAAGCCATTCGGGTATGCCATGGTTGGGGAATTTTCGAAGCAGTTCTTTGAATCTATCCCAGCTTTCATATAATAATTCTCCTTTTTTCTGCTGGAAATATGTGATCTCATTCCTTAGTTGAGCAGCCTTGACTGAAGGAAAGAATTTGACTAAGAAATTCTCAGCCAAATCATTTCATCTTCTGATTGAATTAGGGGCTAAAGTGCTTAACCAAGTCTTAGCCCTGTTGGCTAAGGAATAAGGAAATAACTTCAACTTTAATGCATCAGATGTAACTCCTTTCATCTTGAAGCTATCTGCCAAGTCCATGAAGTTCTTCAAGTGTAGATGCGGGTCTTCAATTGGCATTCTATTGAACTGGCCAATTATTTGCAGCATGCTGAACATAACTGGTTTCAACTTAAAATTTGTTGCTACAACGTCAGGTTGTACAATCCCTGAATGGAGATTATTGAGTGTGAAGACTCCATGTGCTCTAATAGGCATCTCTGCTCTATTGAGTTCATCCCCATTGATAGATCCTTCTCCTTCCATGTCTGTAGTTCTAGGTACTGCTACAACTTTGTTCTGTCTCTGCCTCCTTCTCCTTGCTAGAAAGTTCTCTCAATCTCTGGATCAAATTCAACTTCTGGCTGGTCAGGAGAGTTGTTTATAAATTAGCTGGAATACCTGAAAAGAACAGGAAGAAGAATAGATTAAATATTATTTCACAAAAAGATAATAGCTTTAAAATAATCTCCGGCAACGGTGCCAAAAACTTGTGCAATTTCATAATCAATTATATCAATCACACAAGTACGTAAGTGCACATATCAACAAGTAATAAAGTGGATGTGTGAGTCCAAGTACCGATCCCATGGGGATTAAGTAAAGCTACGGCTCTGAGTGAAGTAATATAAGTAACAATAATAATTTTTGATTAACTAATGACTAACTTAACAACTAAGAAATAAAATAAGCTAAGACTACTGATTAACTAAGAAAATGCAGTAACAATATAAGTTTTCAAGTATTCAAAAGTAGATTGGGATCAATTTCCCCATTATTGTAATTTCATCAGAATGCAGTCACAATGCTACAACAATCATCCAATCAATAATCAGAACACTAATGCATGCAAGGGCTCTCACCAAAAATACATGTATACTAGTTCCCATATCTCTATGACCAATGTAGTTATGAATCATTAAGTTCAGGTTCTATGTGATTTTGTGGCATGAATGGTCTCTCTACTCACAATTAACCAATTTTACTTAGTTAAACCATAATATTTAATAACTTTCAGGGTTCACCTATATCTCTATAGCCCAAACCCTATGTATCTTGCAACTCTCTCTGATGAATCAACAAGATTAGAGACAATGTAAACACTTTATTAAACAACTAAAAGGACAATCATGTAACAAAGTTTAGGTAAACTAATTACATCACAATAAGGGTATTTTATCACCCAATCCTAACAAATTAGCTCATACTTGAATAGAAAGAAACAACAAAGAAATAATAAGATTCCATAGATCTAAGATAAGAAAAGCAGGGACGTTGCTGTAGCTCTGCTCTCGCAGCAACCGTGGGCTCTGCCACCATCCACCGTATCTCAGCCACCGGAAAAGTACAAAAAGTTACCTGATTCAATGATCTCTCTATTGAACCCTAGCTCCTCCCTTTGATTCGCTGGATCTCTCTCAAGGAACCCTTAAATTCTCTCTACGTGTTTCCTCAACTTTCTCTCTAACAGCTCTGAAATCTACGTTCCAATCCTTGTCTGAACCTTCCCAGCCTGTTTGATGTGTGTAGGCTTCCACTTTTTATAGATTTCTACGAATAGGGCTCCAATTATCTCTTCAACAGAGCATGGTGATTTTGCTGTTGCATATCTTCTTTAAATATTTCCAAATATACTACAGATTTGATTTGGATTTATAGAAGATTTCGCTCTGATTTGTTGAAGACTTGATTAGAATTTTTTGAAGATTTGTGAGTGATTATTCTGAACAGGTCGTTTAGTTGTGCGCCAAGAAGCTTCCCTCCTTTAAGTTGGGCTTAGGTTCAATAGATAGCTGGTGCTGATGTCAATCAAACGCACTGCTTACCTCAGCCCTAATGCTACAACTCTGCTTTCCAATGCTATAGCTATGACCTGTAATAAAATAACAAAGGCAATAAATGACTCTAACATTCAAATTATCTTCAAATAGCAACACTTAGCATATTTCTCATTCAAATCATGAAAATACAGAATTCATGCAATAATCATGTAAAAATCAAGAGAATTATGCACAATTATGGCACCAAATCATCACATATAAGCCTAAAAAATAAGGTATGCCATTTATTAAAAGTTTTCTCTCATGCTACTAATATCATATTAGGTAGTGATTATCCTACAACAAACTTATATCTTCCGGAAGTTTATATGGTCAAAGTAGTGATTGATAAAGCAGCTGAAGATAGTTATGATTTTATGAGATGAATGACATATGAAAGATAAATTTGATAAATATTGAGGGGAATGCAATTTGTTGATGGCCATTACCAGTGTTTTGGACCCAAGGTGTAAATTAGAAATGGCGAGCCTTTGGGTGTGTTTGAATGTGTTTTTGTTTTTTGTTTTTAAAAACTGTTTTGAGGATAAATTTTCAAAACTAATTTTGAGAGTAAAAAAACAGTAAAACTGTTTGAATATAGTTAGTTTTAAAGTTATAAAGAAGTTAATACAAAAAAAAAAGTTATAAAAAAGTTGTAGTTATTTACAAAAATGCCATTAATGAATCCTCATATTTACAAGATTTCCACTGCAAAGTAATTTAAAATTAAAATTAAAATCAATTTAATTATAAAAATGCCATTAATGAATCTTTGTATTTACAAAAATGCCACCGCGAAAACAAGAAAACAACTTTTGAAAATATCCCTTAGTTGTTTTTCTTTTTTGGTTTTTAAAACAAAAACGCAAAGGCTGTTTTGAAAACAGATAGCATGAAAAATCTTTTTCCAAACAATTTTTTTTGATTTATTGTTTTTAAAATTTGAAAACTATTTTGCAGAACAGAAATCAAATAGAGCCTTTGTTTTCCACTTATTTACAAATCAGAATTTGATGCCAAAGTTAACATAGAAAAGATGCATCAAGCTTTAGAAGACATTTACACTAATTATTTGCAAGAATCTTCCTTTAATATAGATGTCAGAACTAGGGTGGAAGGATCTTCCTCTTCTACTCCCTCAACTAAAGCTTCACAAGATTCTGAATCTGGGTTTGCTCAACTCATGAGCATGATACATGCAAGGGAATCTACTCATTCAGTTAAGTTTGGGCTGAAATGTTATCTTGAAGAGAATGTTTATATAAGTGAGGATAATTCTCATATTTCATTTGATGCCTTGGAATGATGGAAGAGCAATAGCATGAAGTATAAGATTTTATCAAATATGGCAAAATATATATTAGCAATACCAGTCTCTACAGTCGCATTTGAATTGACATTTAGTGCTGGAGGAAGAGTCATTGATGCTTATCGGGCAAGTTTGGCAGAAAATACAGTCCAAGCATTAATTTGCGGTACAGATTGATTATGTAATAAGTATGCATAAAGAAAAAGCAGAAGGTATTAACTTACTTAATTTAAATTGTTTTAGATCTTATGATATTATAATTGAATGTCAAAAATAATTTGACTTGTGTTTTTTTGTTTTTGTTTTTTATGTAGGAGGAGGCAACATCACAATATATTAAATTGTTGATATGAGTATATTAAATTGTTTACACAGAATTTGTAGTATTTTGTTCTTTTGGATATGCAAAATTTGGTGCAACTTTAGTTTATTGGTTAAGCAGACTTTTTGAATGATTTTGTTTTATATTATATTATTTGGATATACATTGAATTTATGAATGTTTGTGGAATTTTGTTGTCTTATTTTTTTTTAACAGGCTAAGTCAGGCCACAAGCTGATAATTATATTCGTAACAGGTTATAGGCTAAGGCCAGTCTAACATATTTAAACAAATGCTTAGCCTTTGAAGACCAAAGCTCGGCTCGGCCTGGCCCGTTAACACCCCTAGCTATATTATTTTGAGATACGTGATTAGACAGTTGTATGTATATTATGTCATTCAGGCATGTACATATTTATTCAATGACGCATGTATGGATATGTGTATGTATGTATGTGGTCAAGTCAAGTATATGATATCTATAATGGCAAGACACCATATTTAGTACATGTATATTGGATTGGACTTTTCTGTATTTTAGGTGACAGGTTAAAATGTGGGATTTTATCCTTAGATTAGTTCAATTTACAACTGTTATGTTGTCCATTTGACTCTGTCCAAATTGATACTTGTTATCATATCCGGATAGTCTTTGACCATCGATTATGGTCACATGAATTCAAGTAATGATTCTGTACATGTATAGACAGTACAATTCATGTAAATAAGACAAGTATACTTTGTATGGCAATACGTAAGGAAAAATAAAAAGGAAAAAATTAAATCAAAAAATTACCATGTGTAATAGCAAAACTTTCATAAAGTCTTCCGCTAATTATTCCATGTGTGATGATGCACTTATATACCATTTTGCACGCTAACAAACCGTGATATCAAGATGGGACATTACAACTAGCCCCCACAATTACCACCAACATTACTTCAACCAGCCACCTATACCTGCAAGCAACCACCACTAGTCATTGACCACCAATATTGACAATTAATTTAAAGCTTAATTTCTTATTTTTTTTTTGTAGGGGATATAATTTATTTATTTTAAAGAAATTATAAGTTATTTATGTATTTTAATATATCTTATTTAAAATTGTGACGTTTAAAATATTTTAATAATTTAAAATAAGAAATAATTTGTAAATAAGTAAAAAAAATAGTTTAAAAATAAATTTTAAAAACATATGTAAATATGTTAAAAAGGACATTTACGTCTATTTATATCATATCATGACACCACATGATTCACGTCAAACACTAGGTAGGATAATATTATCTTATCATAGTGCTTATCTGGGGCAAATCATACACATAATAGTATATGAATTTCTCATACTTATATCACACACATTATTATATGCACCAAACGAACACTAGGTGTTACCAATGAAAAATTTAATTATTACCATTGAACATTTTAATATAATGCAGAGTTTTAATTGCAATATTTATCCACAATTTCTACAATTGCAATATAATTTAATTGCTACTACAATAATTGAAAACCATGATATAACTCCTCTCCAAAAGTCTAACAAAAAAAAAGTTTAAAAAAAGAAATTAATAATAATAATAAAAAAAAGCAAGGGATCATCCGACAGGTCAACCTCGTCAGGTAACAAAAAAATGGGACCCAACTCATACATACTACGTGTGCAAACAGGGAACGTATATTAATAACAAGCTCTGGACAAGGGCCAAGCGTTTAGGAGAAATTAAGGCAAAAACGGTGAAGAATTGAATGCATTGTGATCTAACCAATCTAACGTAGAAAGATGGAAGGGTCATCGAACGAGTCTGCAAGTGGAGGATCATCATCTCAACGAGGCGAAGAGAAAGGAATATTCGAATACTTTGGTTGGGTTTATCATCTTGGCGTGAATTCCATTGGCCATGAGTACTGTAACCTTCGATTCCTTTTCATCAGGGGCAAGTGCGTTGCCATGTACAAGCGTGACCCTCACCAGAATCCTCACATTGTATCTTTCCTCATTTCTCATATATATATATATATATATATATATATATATATATATATATATATATGATCATGTTTTCATGTTCCATTCCTTTCATTATTTCTTGTTGCCTTTCACCATTTTAACATCATTGGCCGTCAAATTATCTAAACAATAATAAACCATCATAAATTTTAAAGTCTTCAAACCTTATGTATAACATAATCTTAAGGGTAAATATCTTTTTGGTCCTCAACAAATTTTACTATGACTGCTTTAGTCCTTAGCAAATAAAAAGACCAATCGTAGTCTTTAAGAAATTCAAAATTATTTTAGTCGTTTTAAGTACTAATATAGGTCTTTTTTGAATTTTTGAGGAACCACGATTTCAACTAAATGGGTCCATTTTGAATTTTTTAGATACCACGATGGGCCTTTTTTATTTGCTAGGAACTAAAACGGCCACCGTAAAATTTGTATATAGTATGAATAAAGGATATTTAATTGAACATAATGTTGTAATATTTTTATAGTGTCCCTTATTTTATTTTTAATGTGGGTTGTAATCAATCACTTGTCATTGTACTGTTTTTCTTTTCTTTAGTAATATCTATTTCTAGTTTTTATAATTCTTAGATATACCACGTTAAAATTTTTCTTTGTTCAGGAACCCATTAGGAAGGGGGTCATAGGGGCAACACTAATGGTGGAGGAGCTAGGGCGTCGAAAGGTCAACAATGGGGTAAAACACTAGCATTTTGCAACTCTTCGTATTTACTTAATTAAACTGATTTTGCATTGGTTTTGATGGTGTATTCTCTTTGAGGACAACTCGTAACAAGCTTTTGTGTCGTGAATTTAAGATATATATATATATATGTGGGATAATAGTTTGTCACGTAACATGACACCATTTGTGTCATGTTACAGACACAAAAACACTGTGGACCCCATTGTATAGTAAAAAAGCAAAAAAAGTTAAAGTGGGTCCCATGCTATATTGAGTGTGTAGGAAAGTGGAGATTTTTCATGTAACATAACACTTGTATTTTCCTATATATATATATATATATATATGTTTTACTTCATTTTAAACTTACGGAAGCTAAATATGTTCTGTTCTTATCCCCAGGATCTTTATGTAATACGCTTTTACAATCGCTTAGATGAGACCAGAAAGGGCGAAGTAAGTTATAGTTTTTAATTGTTTGTTCTCATAATTGTTTATGGAAATTTGCTTGCCACATAGCATGTTTTTAATATGTATAGCAGTTCATAAAGAATTAAAGGTAGCTTTTAAAGCTACTTGTTACACTATAAAAAGGAAACATAGTGACGGGCACAGTTGGTAAGTGAATTGTGACCCAAGGATAGGATATGTGTTCCATCCTTGGCCGATGATCTTTGGGTCAGGTGAATACCCTTGCACTCTAAGTCTCGGATGGAAGATTAGTCTCGCCTTTTCTCTGGTGACAGTGATCCAATGCACCTTCTGTTTTAATGAGAAGCTAGTCTTAGGGCCGTATTCCGAGAATAAAGTGGTTGGAGGAGGTTGAGTGAAGATACCTTCATGAAAATTTAAAAAAAAAGGGCAACATTGTACTATAAAGCTCTCACTATACGTCGGTCCAGAGGAAAGGGTCAGGTTCACTGTGTGGGTCTACAATAGGCCATCTTTCCTTAAATTTGCAAGAGACTAATTACATAATTGAACCTGTGTGCTATGGTTCACATGGGGACAACTTTTGACACATAACATAAAAAGAATCAATCTTTTTAGTTGTTAATTCTACAATCAGAACTTACTTCAAATATTATAAGTTGCTCTTATATATTTTAAAATCTAAAATAATTTTAAATATTTTATATCTTGCTTGGTGCCAACCCCAACTAATTTGGAGTAAAAGTAATGTTGATGTTGACTCTATTTTAGAGAAATTCAGCTTGAAGGTGCTTGTGAAGTGTACAGTAATGATCAACAAGAAGACCCAAGGCTTATCTCAGTTCGTAGGATTGCCTACATCAATCAATCGATACCATTGGACTCCATCAAAAACTAAATTTTCATTAAAACTATTCAGACCTTTTTTAAAAGTGGTTTCTGCTAAAGTTTTCTTAAATTTTCATCTACACCTAGTAATCAGACTATCTTCCTTAATTGGTACTACTGCAACTCTCTCCTAGATACATTTGTTCCTAGTTTTATTTCTTATTTTGTAATGTCAACTCATCCACCGTAGCAGTTTCATCTCTGCTTCACATTTTGTTATTTTTTTTATTTTTTTATTTTTTGCTCTTATTGTTACTTTACTGCCCAACAGTCATACTCTGGTAGAATTTTCTTCGAGTTTGATAGGCATTTTCACCTCGAAGCTTTTCTCTGTTTCATACGTGTGAATTGACATTCTATCAATCTCCCTCTTTATCACTTTGCAAGATGGATCCAAGATACTTATACTGTCAAGCTAGATTTCCCATAATTAAAACATATAATAGAAGCTAGCATTTGAAATTTTGGGTTAATTGGTTGAAAATGATAGTCTCTTGATCCAACAAACTGCACTAGCATGTATCTGAATTTGTGTCTGTATTGAAGAGGAGCTTATTTATTTTAAATTGAATGAACCCATTCATGTCATGGGTGCTATAAGTTTTTCCTTATTCATTATATAAATGAGGCTTTTTACATAATTTTTCTTCAAGATTGCTTGTGCAACAGCTGGAGAAGCCCAGAGATGGATTGAAGCATTTGATCATGCCAAGCAACAGGTATGAGAAAATAACTGTAAGGTTGCATTTATAATGCAAATGTTTAATATGTTATCAGTGTTAATATTTGTTACAACCCAAGCCTGGTTGTTATGGAAAAATTTGTTTATGGGGAAGGAGGTTTGGATTGGAGTTCCTAGTAAGAAATTTTCAAATATATATATAGGTTTACATTGTATGTAAAGAATATGGGAGTAGTTGTTTTGCTATATAAAAGAATTTAGCATGTTATGGAACTATATTCATATTTACCATAATATGCTTATGTGAATTTGTTCGACATATCCTCTTTGCAGGCTGAGTATGAGCTGTCACGAGGAATTAGTGCCAGATACAAACTAAACAAGGAGGCTGAGTATGCCATTTTTTGTCCTCCACCTAACATAAAGTTAACAAATATCATATAGAATGACATTAGTTAAATAGTCTTGTCAGCAAATTAATGAGGTTTTTCTGATGTATTATAAGCAGGGTATTCCAATGCTTTTGATCATGTCAGAGTCTCAATTTTATTTTATTTTCTTCTTATATATTTCCTTCATTTTTATTTTTATTTTTACTATAAGCTCTAGAAATTATGAAGTTTTTCAACAATTTTGAAGGAAAATGCTTTACAGAGTTACAGTTAGATATTACTGTTCATGTTTTGACGAGTTAAGCTTAATGAAAGATCCATAGAGTTGCTGAGATTGTTATTGGGTGGCCTTCCTTAGAGGTCATCCTTTTATTAGAAAACTTATCATAAACTGACATACAGTTGCTTTTTCTGTTGTGGAAGAATCAATCTGGAAGGACATCGACATTCTGTGAGGCGGTATGCCTCTGGGTTGAGGAAGTTTATAAGAATCGGCCAAGGTAAAATGATAATCATTGTTTGATAGGTAGCATTCATCAGCGGAGATTTTGATTTCTTAACAATGCTTAATTGATTTGTATCTTGCACTTACCATTCTGTTATGTCTTCATTATGTTATGGCTGAAGATTGGAGGGTAAATATGCTACGTTTTAGCTTAAATAGGTTAGGCTTCTGTAAAAGGAATAAATCTTTGGTACTACTGCTGTACCAAAGATTCAGTACAAATCAGACTATTAGACTTAAAAGGAATATGCTATTTATACCCCCAGTTGCCGAGCTAAGCTTTTGGTTAAATAAATCAGACTTATGTAAGATATATTAGGCTTGACTTGGCCTGTTAATCTTGCCTAGACCCAAATTGTAAGTTTGGTTCAACTTATATTTAAAAACAAAAGGTATGGCCTAGATCTATTAACCTATTTAAACCTATTAGGCTTAATAATTAAACAAATAATAAAAATAATATTATTTTATTATTTAAAATTATTAAAATAATAATTTTATTAGAGATATATAAAAAGTTTAATTAATCTCATGTTAAAGGAATGTCATAGAGACAAACTTGTAAACTCCACCACCTGAAAAAAAAAAAAAAAAAAAAGATGGCATAGTCATCGAAGAGTGTGTAGGAGGGAAAACTTATCTCATGTAACGTGAGAATAGTTTTTTCCATATATAAAATCATTAATATAACCTTACCTACCAGCTTAAGCTTTTAGGTTGAATTGATTTTTTACATGGTATCAGAGTCTCGGTGTTATGGATTCGATTTTCACTGCCCTCACTTTCTCTTGTGGAATTTCTTAACACAGATAGATGAGCATATGTACCCTTCAAGCTCAATAGGGAGCATATGCACCATTCAAGCTCAATGGACTCTCATGTGATGGGGGTGTTAGAAATATATAAAACCATTAATAACCTCATCCACTAGCTTAAGTTTTTGGGTTGAATTGATTTTTTATAAATTTTATTTATTTTATTTAAAATAAATAAAATAATATAGGTCAACCTGTAAACTTATAAGTTAGACTTTATAATAAAAAATTCTAATTTTTAAATATATTTTTTTTGAGTAAATATCATTTTTGATTCTCAGCAAATTTCATAATACTCGCTTTAGTCCGTGGCAAATAAAAAAACTCATCGTGGTCCCTAAGAAATTCAAAATGGACCCATTTTAGTTCTTTTAGGGACTAATACGGGTCTTTTTTGAATTTCGAGGGACCACGATTTCAACTAAATGGGTCTATTTTGAATTTCTCAAGGACCACGATGAGTCTTTTTATTTGTTAGGGACTAACGCGAAATTTGGGAAGAAACAAAAAAAGGTATTTACGCTTTTTTTTTTTTTAAGCCTATTTTATAATAGTAATACTAGAGAGTCCTATTTACACCCTTAATCCCATGTTTGTTTTCTAATTTCGATACTAGTTGACATTACTCTTGATCTTTCATTCTGAAGGCCCAGAGACACTCTTACGGCTATCATCAAAGTTTTTTGGTGGTTCAGATGCGTTTGAAGCAGATTGCGGAGATGCATTTGAAGCGCATCAGTGGAAATGCGTTCGTACCATGGCTGGTACTTTCTTCTGCCACACGCATACACTACTTTACAGCCTATTTATTGCAAGCCAATGTTTTGTTGCTTCAATATTCTCTTCCTAATATTTATTAAAGATTTTTTATCCAACTTTATGTAAAGGTTGCAATTGTTTTAGATTATTTATATGAGAATTGAAATTTTCCTACCTTTCGATTTTTGTGCTAACATGATCCTCTACATATTTTTTGTAACACGGGTCTCATGTGTTTTTTGTCTTTATGGCATAAAAAGACTCATTTCATGTAAGATGAGAAGTATAAAACATATTGTTTTATGATAGAAGAAGAAATTTTATTGTAGAGCAAAGAGAAGCAAAGCTTGGGGAAGAATAAGAAATCCTTCAAAACAGAAAGACTAAATTCAACAAAAACCATAAAAAATGAAAAGAGGGGAAAAAAGTTAAGTACGTATTAGGCTTCCCAATCTCATTGTAAATCCAAGATAGCAACACCCTTGAAGCAACCATGAGCTGAAAACCATAGACAAAACCCCCTTAAGAATACGAGTATAGCCTCCAACCACACATGGCAAAGGACAGCCTTTGCACAACAAGAAGTCAACAACAACTAAGCCTTAAAATCTTAGTCTTTTGTTCATACCAATTCCTCTATATTAAACCCCAAAAATAGAGTAAAGGGACTCACCTAGTTCTCTCCAATAACCCCAAAAAGGGAGTTCCAAATCCAAAGGAAAGTAGCCACCTTATAGTGCAACAGTAAGTAGCCTTACTGTCTGAGCCTGACTGCTCATAACACACATTTAGTGAGAAAGAGCAATGTAAGGTCTATGAATCTGCAAAAGTCATTTGTATCAATGTTATTAAGTAATGCTGTAAAATGGCCTAAAAGATGTTGCTAAATATTCAATCGGTATAGTTTTAATGATTTTGTATTACAGAAGTTTGTTTGGGCTAGAACATTGTAAGTTATAACTCTCTCGTTAATGAATTAGAGGTTTTCAGAAATAATTTTATCTCAAAGGCTATTAATTTTGAATTAGTTTTCATATTGTGTTCTTTAGCCACATAGTTGGATCTTTCGTTATCCTTTTGGTTTTTTTTGTTTGTGGTTCCAGGTATTAGAATTTTTGAGGATGTTTCAAATCACAAGGTATGTATGCATATAAGTTTTTGGGGCTGTTGGTTGATACTGATTTTCGCCATATATCTTGAAAACTAACTGGCTTGCATTCATGTATAAAAATTCTAACAGAAGTTGTGAAAGTACAATACTTGACTTTTTTCAAGAATAATTTTTTGGCAATTCTTTTTCCAGATCAGTATTTTGCTTGTAAAGCCTGAAAATCTCAAGTTTCTTTATCATATTTTCAAATTGTTGTGCCTCTCTCTTCTATTTCCTATCACAAGTTGTTGTTCAAAATGCTGGTCCATTTGTTTACATAAAGTTTAAAAATATATTAAAGGTGTTCTTTTCTTCCTATGATGAAAATCACAACCTGTGATTGTCACACAGAGTTTTTCAAATAGTTGTATCAGTTCACATGTATTATCATGAGGCTGGTTATTATTTCACAAAGTCAGTTTTAGTTTTGGTTTAATATATCTATTGATGGAAGACACCTTTGTCTGTATTGTTGTCATTTATATTGTTGAAAAAAGCATTGATGTGTGTGCTGTGTAACCCAAAACCTTTACTAACATGATAATGAGTTGTCTAGTATTCACCGTATTAATATTAAAATATTGTCATGTGCTTGCTATATAGGTTCTGTTCCTCTATTTTTTCTGTCTTTGAAACTGCAGATATCACATTTAAAAACAATTGAATAAGCACTTTATTATGATGGGATAGATAGTTATAGATATCTATTTTCTGCTTTAACGTTCTTTCAATGCTTTGTAGAATGGTAAGGGTGTCCTCGCTAAGTCAGTTGGTGTTATTGATGCAACTGCAGATAGTGTTTTTGAAGTGTTTTTAAACACTGAACGACAGAAAAGATACGAGTAAGTTTCCCATAAAAGGTGCTTCAGAGGATTGATAAAATATTGGGGAAATTAGTCTTTCCTATAATTACATTTTCAGGTGGGATATGTTGATGGGTGACTTGGAGCTGGTAGAGTCTTTTGATGGACATTATGATGTTGTTTATGGGACATATGATCCTAAGTATCTAACCCGGTAATCAACGGATTTTGACTTCTTCTAAACTTTAAATTTTGTTGCAACTGCATTGCTATAATAGTTTTCTCAGTCCAAAAATTTTCATTATTAATAATGTTGCTAAAACAGGTCAGGAATTTTTGATTTGTTTATGTAACGTGTGGATTGTTACAATTGATAGAGATTTGCATGCACTTGTGAATTTGACTGAATTGATTATAATCTCCATTCTGTAAAATTCTTCGTATCAGACATGTACTAACACATTAATTATCATTATTTTTATTTTTATTTTTTATTTTTATCTGCCTCTATCCATTGTATAGCTAAATGTGATGAAATTTTGTTGCTAAGTGGTTATAGTTTCCTCGCTTCTCTCCCTTTTCTCCTATTGTCGTATAAATTTTTATTTGTATCAGTGGATAGCAAGCTTCACTCAAATTTGTTGTGATTTAATCCCCGTTTTACTTTTAAAAATGTCCATCATTCATAAATTTCTTTTCAAACCTAATATCCAGATGGCATTCAAAGCGGGATTTTGTCTTCTCTAGGCAATGGTTTCGGGGACAAGATGGAACATACAGTAAGAATAACAGTTTCTTACTCCTTTGATTTTTCTGTTAATTTTCAACTAACTGAAGCTTTGAAATAATACTTGTCAAACTGAAAAAACACCCTAGAAATGAAATTTCTCTAATTGAGCATAGAATCCATCTCACTTAATTTTATGCAATTATCCTTTCAGTTCATTAACACTGCAGTTTGCTATTACAATGGTGGTGGTTGTTGTAGCCTTGATTGTCATGGATCATCAGAAGTGATTCTTGGCTGTGGCTGACATATTGTATATGTTTAATGGATGCAGCTATCTTGCAATTTCCAGCTATACATAAGAAAAAGCCTCCAAGATCAGGATATCGACGTACAAAAATTAATCGTAAGATATATTATTTGCATAAGTGATTCAACTTCCTTCACTGTTGGTGAACTAGCTTTTTGAACTTTTTTGTGTTGACTTCTTTTGAATTACTGGCTTCTTATAAAAGCTTAAATGGTTTGAGAACAACCCAACTTTGTGTATTAACTCTCCACCTTCAATCACATGCATAGTGATTCAAACCACAAGTAAATCCATGGTGCTTGGTATTTGAGCTCGTTCAAGATTTGCCAGTCAATTCTGGAAATTCATTAGAAGAAAAAGAAACAGAAAAGATTACTGGTGACTTCTTTGTGACCATTGACTAATTTTATCCTCATATTTATTTTATTTTTGCTGCAGCATCTACATGGGAGATTAGAAATATGAACACACCTATGGGATCAAGTAGACCAAGATGTTTAGTGACCCACACTTTAGAGATACACTCTGCATTCTGGTATGGATGGAAGAACAACCAGAGCTCAAAATTTGAGAAGAGCGTCCCTTATGCATTATTATGCCAAGTAGCAGGTTAAGTAATTGAACTTTGGTTTTCATCTTGTATCCATCTGAAGTCTAGAATCATTGGCAATTCAGGCTATTAAAATTTATCGTTTAAACTACTCACAAATAATCATTTAATTTGGCCACTCAGTTTTTGTATTGAAATTCTTTCTGTCAACATTTAATTTGAACTGTTCACTAATATAGCATAAACTCTTCTGACATAATATCATTCAATTCCTTTCTTTCCTTTTTTTTTTTTTTTTGATTAAGGTGTGTTTGAGAAAATGAGGAAAATATAGGTGAAACTGAGAGGAACAGAGAAAAAACTTCTCTATTTTATTCAGAATGGGATTCAGGCCTGACCCCCTTTTATGATTAACATCATAAATTTGGAATCACACCAGAGAATAGTAACGAAACTACAGCATTACACTTTCAATATGCAAGCTTACATCCCTATATATAGCCGGAACAGTGACTATTTTGCCACGCCTGGCCAAATTATTTACCAGACTGCCACGCGAACAGTAAAAATTCCGGGAATGTCACGCGGCATAATTCGCTACACTGTGCAGCGAAATATGTTTGCAAATAATTCACTACACAGTGTAGCGAATTATGCCATGTCAGGCTGCACAGTCAGCAAAAATGACATGTGTCAAGCAGGCAGCAATACAAGCATAATTCGCTACACAGTGTAGCGAATTACTGCCTGCTTGACACATGTCATTTTTGCTGACTGTGCAGCCTGACATGGCATAATTCGTTACACTGTGTAGCGAATTATTTGCAAACATATTTCGCTGCACAGCGTAGCGAATTATGCCGCGTGGCATTCCGGGAATTTTTACTGTTCGCGTGACAGTCTGGTAAATAATTTGCTGAAGTGTGGCAAAATGGTCACTGTTCCTTGACACTGGGCAGATTGAACCTCATTTATTTATTAATTACCTCATGTTTGTAAACAAAATATGCAACTGATGGACATGGAACGTGGTCAATCTAATTTGACAGCCTGGCTGGCTATGATATTTAAACAACTACAAGAAAATATTTTGAAGAAATTTCTCAGTCTAATCCAATTAATATAGAAAAACTTTAGGATTTCTCTTGATCCTTGAACTCGGAAAATAAATTAGGCAATTAGCTTCTATTTGGTGTAAAGCTCATAACCCTTTTAAGGGGCTTTCCTAACAGATATGCTCATTGATTGGCCAGCTTTGCATCATTGTTGTCTTCTCTTGTATCTTGTCTTCCTTTTTCCTTTTTTCATTATGGAGGATCTCTTTTCTCTGAGAAGGCATTAGTGTAAACTAAGTCACACTAGCCCAAAATTGAAGAACCAAATTGTTAAGATAAACAATCACAAAAGAAAAACACTAAAGGATGTGGATAAGCATGAAAAGAGACTTCTGTAAACCATTCATTTGTCTTCTTCGAACAACTCAAGCTCTGGGGATAGTTGTGTTATGACTGAGGTCATTGTTTTTCTTTTTTGTTTGTGACTATTTCTCACATTCTCCTAGCCTTGTAATTTTACTTTTCTCTTTAAACTATTCTTTCCATTTTACAAACAGAAAAGAAACCAAGGAAGTTAATTGCTATTTACTTTTTCTGTGACGTGTGGCATTTAATACTCCTTGTTAAATAATGGTAGGTCTAAAGGAATATATTGGAGCCAATCCAGCATTCCACGAACAATATTCCACTACTGTTGTTCATTCCAAAATCTCTGATGCTTCTCTGTCCAGTGCCGAATATGAAGATGCAGAAGTCCAGGATGAGTTTTATGATGCAATTGCTGCTGAATCCACATCAGATGAAGAAAGTGATGTTGATGAGGAACTTGATCAGGTTTCCTTAAATCTGCTTTTCAACCACGAGTCTACATTTGAAATGGATGTTATTTGTGTGTGACTGGTTTGAAACAAAGACGAAGTACTTTTTCTTTTAATTTCTATAATTTAATACCTTATCTAATTTGTCAGGAGCAGAAAGTCAAACTAAAGAATGTTTCATGGGCCATCACGTCCTTAGCTTTGAAGCGAACTGCAGGTTAGCCTCTTCCTATGTTCCTTGTTATTTGCAAGGTAAAAGGGCCTAAAGGCGTTATAACTTTCTGCATGTAATTCTATTTATTTAGACTATCAAACTTTCAAGTACATCAACTCCTTGGTTCCAACTTCAAAATAGCAGTTGAATTCTATATCTGATTCCTGTAAATTGACAGTGTGAGATAAAAGTGGAATGGTATATCTGATTCCCACAAAACTCAAGAGTATAAGACATGGGAACATGAATATATGTCAACCAAATTGGGAAATTCGAATTTGCTAGTCATTTAAAACCTGCAAATTCATAGCATAGTCCAGCTCGACGTTTAAAACCAGTAAAGTCTATGCATAGTCCACCTTGCATTTTTCCTAATTTACTGGGCTGATAATCAGATTGTATTAGATAATATTTATGTGAGAATTCTCCTGCAGGAGAACACAATTTTTGCCAATATTTTTCTTAGTTTAACATGGTATCAGACTGGCTCACGATCCTAGCCTAGCCTAGAAATTCATCGTCTCTTGTCCTTTGGTCTTAGCTCTGTCCTAGTCCAGACCAAGTCCTTCATATTCGTAGTCCGGAATTGGTTCTTCATGACCAATTTTTCTCAGTCTCGTGTCTTCTGAAAAGTATGTTGTCTTATTGGTTTGTTTCAATGGCAAGAACTCCTAAGCCAGGATATTCAAATTCCAGATATTTGTCAAACGTAAGGATCTGTTAGGTTACACTGATGGGAACAAACCTGCTTCTAACAAAGGCAACCCCAAGGACGAACATGCCAACTAGGGAGGTAAAGGATGCTGAAGTCATGGGGTGGATTATATGCTCTGTTGATGCCAACATTGTCCCCAATCTTCAACCCTTCAAGACTGCCTCCAATATGTGGGCTTATCTGAAGAAAAATCTGCAGTCCGAATAACGCTGCTTAAAGATTCTAGCTTGAACATAAAATAGCCATTTTTCAACAGAACAATCTCTCTATCTTTGAATTTTACTCTCATTTCCTGAATCTTAGGGCTGAATACACTGACGTAGTGTATGACAACTCAACTCCTGATGGTTTAGTTTTTTACAATCAGTTCACGGAACTTCTAAAGTAGTTCTCCCAGACCTTCCTAAAGAATTCAATACAAATGAAATTAAAAAACTGAGGGAGTTACTAGGCACATTAGCAAAAACCTCAACACAAGTATTTGTTCCTTGGCATTCTCAAGTTGTATCTCCCAATCCTATGCACGTAGTGCTTTAAATTCTCCTAAATAAGGAGCATCGGGTCTAGATTCTGGAGCTACAAACCATATGACATAGTCCTTCACTGGATTTTTCTTCTATAGGCCCTGTCCAAGCAATGAGAAAATTGCAACTGTGGATGGAACTTTTATTACAGTCACTGGAAAAGGAGACATTATCATAAACCAGAATTTAATTCTGAAAGGTGTCTTGCATTTGCCAAATTATCTGCCAGTTTGATTTGTATTCACAAGCTTACAAGGATTTAAAGTATAGGATGATATTCTCTCCAACAATACGAAAATTTTTGAATCAAGGAATGGGAAAGATGATTGGACTTGTTAAGGAGGAAAATGGACTTTACCTTCTCGAGGAGGGTAATAGGATGTGTAGCACTAAGAGTCAAATTCCATGTCTTTGCTTTCTGAGTCATCTCCCTCCAACAATAAAAAATCTGGTTGTTTCACTTTTGTTTAGGTCACCCTTCATTCGGAACCCTACAAATACAATTATGTTCCCTAGCTAATTTTAGGGACTCAGGGTAGGCATGCTTCTTTTTGATACTAGTGAACTTGAAAAACACGAACTTGTCAACTTTCCTCTCTGGAATAAAAGAATGTCAGTTCCTTTTGCTTCATTGCACTGTGATGTTTGGTGACCTTGTAATATTTTGAACATATCTGGGGCCACAAAGGGATACAAATTTGACCCTCAGGCTATCAAATGTATTTTTGTTGGTTACTCACCTACCCAAAATGAAAGGGGGCGAACCGGAACAGTGATAAAACTGTTACTTTATGACTGAAAGGTCATGGGTTCGAATCTAGGAAATAGCCTCTTTGCAATTATGCAAGGGTAAGGCTGCGTACAAGAATTGCCTCCACCTTACACTCGCTAGTCGGGTTTAACGGGGAGTGAAGTGAAGAGACTCACCTACCCAAAAGGGATACAAGTGTTATTACCTTCCCAAAAAAAAGGTCTTTGTGTCTAATTGATGCCACATTTGTTGAACTGAAAGTTTCTTTTCCCAGCCTATTAATCAAGGGGAAAGTTCGCGAATGGAAGTTAAAGGATGATTTGTTCTTACTAGAAAATTCCCTTGGAGAAAATCTCTCGTTTCCTGAGTCAAGCCCTAACTTACCATTGTCAAGCCATATACTCCTCCTGTTTCAAGTTCGATGATAACCGGTAAACAGACTTAGAGGGGTGTATTGGATTAGGATTTTAAAAGACTATTTTGAGATAAAAAATCTTATAGATTTTAAAAGACTATCTAGAATTTGGGGAAAGTTATATTTACAAACTTTTGTTTACAAATTATACCATGTACTAGGGGTAGTACATTCCAGTACACAGTGTACTACCCCTAGTACATAGTGTAGTTTGTAAAAAAAAAATTGTAAATATAACCCTCCCCCCTAGAATTTTAGTGACTTTAATGACTTTTTAAAAATACTTTTTTGACAATCTAGATTTTATAAGATTGGATTTTAAAGGATTTTCACTGAATTTATAAGATTTTAAAAAACCATATCAATTTTTAACAAACATTCAAAATTACAAGAGTCAATAAAAAAATAACAAGGAAATGCAATGATATTAATAAAAAAAAAGTAAAAACTAATATCATTTTCTCAATCAGTAATTTGATGTAACTTGATGTCCTACTAAGTAGCAGCTCTCCACATATCTATACTAGCCCTCCACGCATTAGCATCTTCTCATTTCTGCTTTTGGGTTTGACCAATGGGTTGAAAATTATCTTCTCCACAAGTGGTATCAGAGCAGGGTCTCTCTTCCAGTACGGTGTGGTTCGAGGATGAACCAGGCGGAAGCTGGTGGGGATGTAACATCCCGAGCACTGACGAGGGTGGGGAGTGATCGCCGGTGCGAAAGGGTATGGTGCGAAAGGACACAAAAAAGGAGCGGCTCCTGGAAGGCTTCCAGCTAGGGTTACATAAATTAATTGAATCGACACCCGAAAGAGAAGAATTCTAAAGACTGTGCAGGTATGACATTGTACAGTTGAGGATAGCTTATAAGAATTAATTGGTACTACCTATACTAACAAGATGCATGTACTTTTCGGTAGCCCATAACGGAAGAACTCTATAGTTAAGCGTGCTTGACTTAGAGCAATTCTGGGATGGATGACCTCCTGCGAAGTTTTCCCAAGAAGTGTGTGAGGATAAAACATGCTAAAAAGTCCCGTGTTAGTGTGTGGGGATAGTCATTGATTCTTGAAGCAGCCAGGCGTTACAAGAAGAGCCACAAACTAAGTGAATCAACCAAGGATGCAACCATGGACATAGAATCTTACCAAAGATTGGTTGAGAAATTAATCTTTTTGTCTAGTACCATGCCAACCATTGCTTTTGAAGGTGTGTGGTAAGTCAGTTCATGCATAATCCCAAAGAAACTCACCTTTGACCCATTTATTGCATTTTGCAATACTTGAAAGGAACTCTAGAAAAGTAATTCTTTTTACAAGGGGGAAGGAGATGACTTTGGAGGCATATACAGATGCTGACTTTGTTGGATATGTAGATGATAGAAGATCTCCCTGCGGATACTGCACTTTTCTGGGAGGAAACCTAATGGCTTGGAGGACCAATAAACAAAAAGTTGTTGCAAGGTCCAGTGCAGAAGAAGACCTCCAAGCTATGGCCTTGGGGATCAGTGAAATCTTTTGGCTAAAAATAGTTCTAAAAGACCTGAAGACTGTGTTGATTAATGATTAGACCTATGAAACTGTACTGTGATAATAAGTCAGCAATAAGCATTGCACATGATCCAGTGAAACATGCTAGGATCAAACATGTTGAAGTAGACTGACTTTACAAAGTAGAAGTTGGCCAGTGTAACAAATGCACCTCATTTGTATCTACTGGAAATCAACTTGCAGATGTACTGATGAAAGGATTTAGTGGTGCCATGTTTCAATCTATTGTTACTGTAAGCAACATGGAATGGATGATAACCACTCACCTTGAGGGGGAATGTCAGAATCCCATTATCCAGAATATTTCCCTGTATTTACAGGATTAGATCCCATACTTGGAGATTAGGTTAAATGTCTTATTTTGTATTTATGGTGTAGGAATCATTCACCTATAATTATAGGAACTGACAGTGGGTACAGGGATGAACAAGAGTTTAGGGTTTTACTTTTTTAGAGGACGTGGTATTCTATTTAACAGCACATGCTCTTCTGATGAAATCATCAGAAAAACCTTTTCTGACAGCTCACCAAGCCACTAGATTACTAATTATCTTGTAAATCGATGACCTACAAGACTTAGTTGTGATTTAGATTGGACAGAAGCATCACTCTTTTATTTGGTGAAAGAAAAGTGGGAAGAGAAAAGTAGGATTAGAGACAAAGATAAAATTACCGAGGATGTGCACTTTGACATAAAAACATTACCAAATGAACTGTAATGTTATAGGTGAGGACTGAGGAGTCCCACTCTTGGCCCTGACTTCCCTCTGTCAGTGAGTCATACTGTGAGGAAGTATATAATTTAAACCCAAACAAAGCTTATTAAGTTCTGAAGGCTTAGCTTATCTAAAACAGTATCTCTCCCATTGTTATTTTTTATAATTTTATTTTATTTTTTTTGCTTCCTTATGGACTTGGATTTTGCAAGGGTCTTCCTATATCTGATATGCAAAGGGAATGGGTTTCTCTTTTGTGCTGATGTATTTTTCGTTTTGGCTTCTTTTCCTCTCTTTTCATTTTGATCTTGTTTTATGAGGATTATTGATCCTCCTGTATTGTATCTAAGGAAGCTAAGGGCTCTTTCCAGTTTCGCACATGACTTCTGCCTCTCACTTTATCTCAAATATTGTTTAGTCTGTGCCTATACACAATACATATTCTAACTCTAACCAGGAGGAGTGAAAGAAAAAATAAAAATGGTAAAAATGAATGGAGCATTCTCTCATTTGTAATTAACAAAGTCACACAAGCTTCTTAATTTCTCAATTCTCCCTTCTTTTTTCCATTCAAACTTTCAGTCCTAAATACTTGGTCATTCTGATTGCAGCTCCAGATCAAAGCAAAGAATTAGATTCTCATGTAAGTCCAATCAAAATTGATGCCAGTGACTTGCAAGGTTCTTTGCGCAAAGGAAAGGATGATAGTGACACAAACTGCTGGACTTCTCCTAGTGGTGAAAGATTTATGATTAGAGGAAAGAACTATCTGAAAGATAATTCTAAGGTGAGTTTACCATTTAAGTCCATTTATTATTCGTTGGCATTGCAAGGCATGATTAGGGTGAGAATTTCCATTCAAGACAAATAATAATGATAACAGCAACATATTTGAAGACTTATTCCATGTTCATAGTGTTTCTAATTGTTTGGAGGGGCATTTGTAACTGACCTGATTAAGTATAGAAGAAAAAGATGATGAATTTTCTATCATTTTTTTTTTCTTGAATTTAAGTACAGCATTAATAGTGCGAGTACTTCCTGTTTACCCCTTATTTCTGTGCAATGAAGAAACATAAGCGAGTTCAGGCATATTGGTAATTTAAGCTGCGTTTGATTTTTCAAATATCTAACTCTATAGCTTTTAAGCTGTAGAACTAGTAATATGTTGTTGACAATGACCTTGATATACTTAATTCTTTTGTTCTGGCTGAATGTCATGGACATACATTTCTCATGTAGGTAGTTGGAGGAGATCCTCTTCTCAAGCTCATAGCAGTTGATTGGTTAAAAGTTGATAAACCTGCAGATAGAATTGCACTGAATCGGAGAAGTCTGGTTCAGGTAAAATTGATCTTATAACATTTCATATCTTTAATATTCATATAGATTGTAATGAGATAAATTTGGAGAAACTTTGCTCAAGTTGGTTTGGACCAAGGTTATTGAATTGCAATGTAAATCGAGAATCGTCAAGCTAATTTTTGAATGGTAAATCGTAAGATTCAGGGACATATAGAAAAATAGCTTGAAATATATCATATAAATAATGTGTAATGCACAATGTAATAATTTTAAACTAGGAATAATAAATTGACAAAATAACTTAACCAAAAGTCTCAAAAAGCAAAATCATAAGTCATAACTGATGCACAGAAAATGGTTGCATGAAGCTTATGTTTCAAGAAAAAGAACAAAGCAATGATATAGCCATATAAAGTGCATATAGAGTGAACAAGTAACTGTGTAAAACCTCTATTTTAGAAGAACAAAACAGAGCAATGAAACAACCAAACAGGATGCATAGAGTGACATTTTGTGTCAAATCCCGATTTTAGAAGAATGAAAACATCGCAATGGAATAATCAAATATGGTGCACTGAATGGCATTTGTTTAGGTGCTTTTGATTTAACAACTTCAGCTTATTTGACTTTTCAATTTCTTTTATGAGAATTGATGAAAGAAAAAAAATGAATTGAGTTGAATTGTATGAGTGATATGAGTCACTACGATTTATGTGTGTATCGTACGATTCAAAGCCATCTGCAATTCATCACATTATACGATTCGGTGGCTTAGCAAATCGTATAGAATCGTATGATTTCTATAACCATGGTTTTGACATGTTGATTGAAGAAAACAAAAAAATTTGTCAAATATAACATGAGGGCTTTTTGAAAAAACTGACTTGCTTTTTGTGGCAAACTGGCAATTTTCATTCATAAATTACATGCTTTACATGGGAAGGAGATATTACAACAAATGTCCTAAAGTCTACACTCTAATCTGCTGAAAACTATGATCTGCAATGGTTACAAAGTAATACCAGAAAATAATACAGCTGTTCATTCATTCAAGCCTACTGTGGTTTTATAACCCATTGTTCAGTTTGTCATTGCCAGATATTTGCTGAAAATGAATTTTGGGAGCTTAATTTGGTATAGTTTTTCGCTTTTGCCAATTATGTAAAATGCAATATGAGTTTTGCCTTCTTCATGTCGTCTGCTACATTTTGTTCCAATGTATGGTTGCCATGTGTATGTACTTGATCATCTATTTTCCAGTCTTACCTTTTTTTGAATTTTTAAAATTAGTGTTGTAGTTCGTTTATGTTTTTTAATCCTGTGCATGCTGTAGGCTTAAAGCTCATGTGGTTGAAATTTTCTGTTACCATCATATTCTGGAAACCTTAAGCTGGAGATTTTGAGATTCTAAATGTTTTATATCAGAAGAAATTACTCTCTATAATCCTTCTCTTCTGAATTGCAGTCAGAAGCTGGGAAAAAGCTTCCGTTTATCCTTGTATTTAATCTCCAGGTATGGATATGATTGCTATTGTATATCATATATGTTATTTTACTGCAAAGTGAAGTTTAATATGCATTTTTGTGTTACAACAGCCATTCTTTGGTCCTTGAATATCAAGTGACTCTTTAAAATAGAATCATAGCGTAGTTGACTAACTGGTGTACTATTCTCTCTCTAATAGTATCAATTCTATTTAAGTGGTTAGCCTCATAATAATGTAATTGTTTATCACTTTCAACCTCTGTGAGCTTTCACATCAGGGACCATGTTGCCATCTTTTTTAGTTTATAATAAAAAGTATTCATTAAGAGAAGTTAAAAAAGTACGAAAGAGACAAGAAATACTGCTCAAGCAACCAAGAAGCATCGATCAGTCGACCTAAGCTCCGACTTGTAATCATTGATATACTTGCTTGCTGAAACTAACCTCTATAGTTGGTTGGATAGACACTTAACTCTGCAGTATACTTCTTGTATCAGTTAAATGTAAAAGAATATGTTGTATATTGATCTGTGTCAGGGAGTTACAATATATAGAGACCCTAATGGGCTTAAGTGAAAGGCCCAAACCTAATCCTAATACAGTCAGAATACAGTCAGAATATTTACGGATAAGACGGAATCCAATCATATCTAATCATATCTAATCATATCATATCTAATATTCTAACACTCCCCCTCAAGCTGATGCGTATATATTATGAGCACCAAGCTTGTTACAAATGTATTCAACCCGAGGACCTCTAAGAGCTTTAGTGAAAACATCTACTAGTTGATTAGATGAGTTGACATAAGCTGTCTTGATTTCTCCTGACTGAATCTTTTCCCGAATGAAGTGACAATCAATCTCTATATGTTTGGTCCTCTCATGAAAAACAGGATTAGAGGATATATGTAGTGCAGCTTGATTATCACAGATGAGTGTCATGAGTTGTTTCTGTTCACAAAGATGAAGCTCCTGAATCAACTGCTTTAACCAGATCAACTCACAAGTAGTATTTGCCATTGCACGATACTCAGCTTCTGCACTAGATCGGGAAACAACAAGTTGTTTCTTGCTTTTCCATGAGATTAAGTTTCCTCCAAAGAAGACACAATAACCAGAAGTAGAGCGTCTGTCCGAGGGTGATCCTGCCCAATCGGCATCTGAGTAACCACAAATTTCTGTATTTCCCTAATCCGAATACAACAAACCTTTTCCTGGTGCTCCTTTGATGTATCGAAGGATCCTCACAGCAGCATCCCAATGTGAATCACAAGGTGAATCAAGGAACTGACTAGCCGTACTGACAGCGAAAGAAATATCTGGCCTAGTCACAGTAAGATAATTGAGCTTCCCAATCAGCCTTCGATAACGTCCAGGATCAGATAACGGCTCCCCTTGTCTGGGCAATAACTTAACATTAGGATCCATGGGTGTATCAACTGGTTTACACCCCAACATACCAGTCTCTTCTAGGATATCCAAGGCATACTTCCTTTGACAGATAGAAATGCCCTGTCTAGATTGCGCCACCTCAATTCCCAAGAAGTAACGCAGCTTCCCAAGGTCCTTTGTTTGAAATGCACTGAATAAATGTTGTTTTAACTGACGAATTTCGTCTTGATCACTTCCGGTGATGATGATGTCATCAACATAGACTAACAAATAGATGCACTTGTTAGGAGATGTAATCCTATAGAATACAGAATGGTCAACTTTACTGCGAATTAGGCCAAACGCCTGTACAGCAGAACTAAAGCGACTGAACCATGCTCGAGGAGACTGCTTGAGACCATATAAGGATTTTCGAAGACGACATACCTTCCCAGACTCCCCCTGAGCAACAAAACCAGGTGGTTGCTCCATGTAAACTTCTTCTTGTAAATCACCATGAAGAAAGGCATTTTTTATGTCAAGTTGAAGGAGTGGCCAGTGACGAACAGCAGCAAGGGCAAGAAATAGGCGCACGGACGCCATCTTAGCGACTGGAGAGAATGTATCGCTATAATCAAGACCAAATATTTGAGTAAAACCCTTGGCAACTAGGCGTGCCTTGAGACGATCAACATGGCCATCAGGTCCAACTTTCACAGTAAACACCCAGCGACAGCCAACTATAGACTTCTCTGGAGGAGCAGAAACAAGGTCCCAAGTGCCATTGGTATGAAGTGCGGTCATCTCATCAAGCATCGCTTGGCGCCATCCTGGATGGCAAAGTGCTTCACCTGTGGTTTTAGGAATAGAAAAAGAAGAAAGACTAGAAACAAAGGTGAAATGAGGAGGAGAAAGACGATCATAGCTCAAGAAGGTATAAAGAGGATAAGGGTTACGAGTAGTACGTGTACCTTTTCTTTGAGCAATGGGAAGAGCCTCTGGTGAAGGATCCGGAGGGGAAGAATCAACTGCAGGGGGCAATGAGTCAGCAGGGGTCGAGTCGACTAGAGATACTGTGTTACGATGCTGATAAGTGAGAAGCGGACGGTTCTCAGGTACTGGAGCAATAGGTGATTGCTTATCTGGAGTAGAAGCACCTGCATCTAGCAAAGACAAGTCAAGAAAAGGAACAGGAAGAACATGATCAACTTGTGACAATGGAGATGAGATAGAATTAAAGGGTTGTTGATCAAGAAAGGTGACATCAGCGGAAACTAAGGAACACTTGAGATCAGGAGAGTAACAGCGATAACCCTTTTGAAGACGAGAATAACCCAGAAAAATGCATTTAAAGGCTTTGGATGTTAACTTATCCTTACCAGGAGTGAGATCATGAACAAAACAGGTACAACCAAAAACATGTGGGGATAGAGGAAAGAGAGGAACATCCGGAAACAATAAGTTATGAGGAATATCATTATTAAGCACAGATGAAGGCATGCGGTTGATGAGAAAGCAAGAAGCAAGGAATGCATCAGCCCAGAAGTGAAGAGGAACATGCATGTGAATAAGAAGAGTCCTGGCAATCTCAATGAGATGTCTATTCTTACGTTCAGCTACTCCATTTTGTTGTGGAGTGTGAGGACAAGTGGTTTGGTGTAAAGTACCCTGTGTGGCTAAGAAATGAGAAAAGTCAACAGAAACATATTCCTTAGCATTATCACTACGTAAAATACGAATAGAAGCACCAAATTGAGTATGAATTTCAGCAGAAAACCTTTGATAAATAGAAAACAACTCAGAACGGTTTTTTCATTAAATAATCCAAGTACAACGGGAGAAATCATCAATAAAGGTAACAAAATACCGAAAACCTAAAACAGACACACTTCGACTAGGACCCCAAACATCTGAATGAATAATTGAAAAAGGAGCATCAGCTCGCTTATTGACACGATTAGCAAAGGAGGAGCGGATGTGCTTTCCTTGCTGACATGACTGACAATCTAAAGTTTGAAGACCGGATAAAAGAGGAACCATCTTCTACAATTTCGCAAGACTAGGATGCCCGAGACGACTGTGGATGAGTTGTGGAGATTCTGTGAGAGAACAAGCAACTGAAGGACTCGGCACATCAAGGTAGAACAGACCCCGTGACTCACGGCCCACTCCAACATTTTGCCCGTACCCGGGTCCTGCACAGAAACAGATTGGTTTGAGAATGTGACAATACAATTAAGAGAATTGATCAATTTACTAACAGATATTAAGTTATAAGGGATGTGAGGAATGTAATAGACAGATGTCAAGGTCAATGAGGAGGTTGGACAGATTTGTCCAATCCCATGAACGGGGGGCCTTAGTTCCATCAGCAAGAGTAAAAGAGGGTAAATTTTCAGAATATGTAAGGGAAGAAAAGAGTTCCTTATTACCACAGAGGTGATCAGTAGCACCTGAGTCAAATATCCAAGGACCAAGTGATGCAGAATGAGAAACACAAGCAACAGGATTACCAGTTTCTGAAGCGGAGGCCTGAGATTGAGGAGAGGACTTCCTGAGAAGGGCCTGGAATGCTACATATTCTTCAGAGGAGAGAGAGACTGTACCATTTGAAGCAGTATCCGATTGAGCTATATTAGCAGCAAAAGAAGGTCGCATGTGAGGATACTTTGTGTAGCAGCGTTCCTCATAATGACCAAGTTGCTGACAGTAATGACAACGAGGTCGCTGACAACGTCCGACTGGACCTCCTGGGCCACGTCCTCCTGGGCCTCTACCACGACCAAGTCCACCTCCAATATTCCCGCGAAAATCAGTACGGGAAACTAGAGCAGTAGAATCAACAGCAGAAGACGATGCAGGAGCAGATTTCTTATTCAAATTCAGAAGACGCTGATACGTCATGGATAGATCAGGCTCCCCACTAGTCAAGATAGTATCACGGACATTATCATATTCTTCGGGAAGGCCAGAAAGTGTGGCAACCATAAAGAGACGTTCCACCTGTTTCCGATATGCAGTAGCATCAGTAGGGTAAGGCAGCATATCCAAATATGCCTGCATCAAAGAGCGACTTTTGCCAATATATGTCTCCATCTGAATGTTGGATGATTTGCTCAATTCCATAAACTGAGAGATGATGAAATAGAGTTGCTGAACATCATTAGTGTAGAGGTTTTTTGCTTCCTCCCATACTTCAGTGCAAGTTTGAAAGGAATAAAAAATATCCAAGACGATCGGATCAATGGATTGCCAGAGGATACTCAGAAGCTGGTTGTCAATCTTTTCCCAATCAGACTTGTCCTCCTTAGGGACATCAGTAGACTTAGTCGTGAGATGGTTCCCATATCCTTGTCCAAAGAACCAAACTCGAACAGAGGTGGCCCAGTTCTTGTAATTAACAGATCCCTTCAATTTTGAAGAGGTAATGGACCTAATATTGGTAGAGATGATATTGGGAGAATTTCTCACAGGAGGAGATGGAGACTTGACCTCCGAATGAATTGGAGAGTTTGCTGCCATAGTATTAAATCACAAAGATATAAACCGAATAAAGAGAAACGAACCTGATCACCAATCAAGAAGAGGTGCGCACAAAAAGTCAGACCCACAAAGAACCAACCACAGATCCAGAAAGAGGAGGAGAAGACGAGCTTCTCTGTCCAAGACCGGCCGGAATAGTGCTCACGCGCCGGCAGAAGGTGACGCGTGAAGCCCACGCGCAGAGAAGACTGGAGGCGCGTGAGAGCGCGTGACAACTCCGATGGTGGCCGGACTTCCACAGAGCAGGTCGCCGGGAGGAGAGGGTGCTGTTTGCGTTCGTTCCAGACTGAAATCTTGCCTGAAAAGTACTCCGGCAGCCTGAACAGTGGCTGACGGTGGCTCCGGTGACTGTTTGGGGATGTGGACACGTGCAGAAGATGCCTGGAGAGGACTTACAGTCCTTGATGTCTTGCCGGAAGGACGCACGGCAAAGAAAAGATGACTCCTAAGCAGTGGGCTTAGGTTTTAAAGCGAAGAACAAGATTTCTAAGCGGAAGCGAGGGTTCCCAGAACGAAATAGCTCTGGTACCAAGTTAAATGTAAAAGAATATGTTGTATATTGATCTGTGTCAGGGAGTTACAATATATAGAGACCCTATTGGGCTTAAGTGAAAGGCCCAAACCTAATCCTAATACAGTCAGAATATTTACGGATAAGACGGAATCCAATCATATCTAATCATATCATATCTAATATTCTAACAGTATCCTACCCCCCTTAGCCACTGAATCTTCAATACATTTCTGGAATCCCACTTCCCTCTCTATCTCTCTCAACCCACTCATCAGATTAACTTGCGCCGGAATGCCTCCATTCTCATCTCTTTTTGATCTCTGGACCTTCCCACTATGAGATATTACAGGTGCAGAAGCGTATTATAAATTTCTGTTGAACTCTGGCTTTCCAGCTTAAGATTTTAGGTGTTGTGAGTCTTTAGCATATCAAATAATCTTTGCGGATGTACCAAAAAATAAAATAATAATCTTAGCGGTTATAAATGGTATGAAATATTAACCAATGCTGGCATGTTGTTATTGTTGTAAGCCTCTAACAATGAGTGAAGGTAGATTTAGTACCTATGTTGACCAAGGAAGAACAAATTTGGAAGCCCTGTCGACTTTCTTATAGAATATCATAGGAGAACAAATGTGATTTTGAATGTAGCTGGAAATTTTCAGTTGAAATCATGAATATTTTGCAACTTGTTCATCTGTGTCTATTAGTTAGTCAATCTCTGGTGTTTTTTAACAATGTCAGATTTCAATGGCTGAAAAGATCTGTCTACATGAATGTATGTTGTATGCAGTTATGCACCTATGTATGTATAAAATGTTGCAATGAAAAATTTGTCTTGCTTATGGATCAGTTATCAAGAATGATTTTTATTTTGTCATCAATCTCAGGTTCCAGCTAAACCAAACTACAGCTTGGTTCTATATTATGCATCTGACAGACCTATAAATAAAGATTCTCTATTGGCTAAGTTTCTGGATGGAAATGACATGTTTCGGGACTCAAGATTCAAACTAATTCCAAGTATAGTTGAGGTGTGTGATTCTCAATGAAGTGTCATATGCCCTTTTTGATACCTGATGGCAGCAGCTAATGGTTTTCAATGGATACAGGGATATTGGATGATCAAGCGAGCTGTTGGAACTAAAGCTTGCCTACTGGGAAAAGCTGTAACTTGTAAATACTTTAGACAAGATAATTTTTTGGAGGTAAAGCTACAATAGCATTTTCAGAAGTAAAGATCTAGTTTATGTTGTTTCTCAAATATCATGGAACAACTTCAGAAGTAAAGTTTCTATCTTTATGCACGCATATTCTCTGGTTTAAATAGAGTTAGAGGTTACTGCACTTTTGTACGGATTAAATAGATATTAACCCTAAGTAATAGACACTTTCCAACTCTCTCCTCTCAAGTTAGAGTATACAAATCAAATGCACCAAGCTTATCACTGATAAAGTGACTTCTAGGAGCCCGAAGAGACTTTGTAAGGATATCTGCAAGTGATCACCACTATAATTTTCAAACATAATAGCAATTTCCTTGGAAAGAACTTTTTCCTGGCCAAAGTGACATTTGAAGTCAAACAATAAACCCAATAGGATGAAATTGTGGGTAATAGTCGACACATGGTGTAAAGGATCAATATATCTCAACCAGCAAACAACAAATAATCAGAAAATACCACAAGTATCTGATCATACAATCTGTATATTCCTCTCAATTCAGTATATCTCTGTTACAACTATGTCTTTAAAAGAAAGAAACAGTAATCAACTACAGTGGAAATAATAGCAAGAGACAGTAAGATAGCCCAGAAGAGTTAGAGCTCCTAATTTCTCCCCATTCACCAAATGGTGCCCAAATTGCCCAAATTCTTAGATACCCCCTACCTTTCCATACGCGCTCCTCCAATAGAATTGTTACCCACCTCAAGTGTCATGCTTGTAAAGAACCAATTCAACCCAAAAGCTTAAGCTGTTGGGTGAGGTTACATTAATGGTTTTTATATATTTCAACACTCCTCCTCACACGAGAGCCCACTGGACTTGAAGGGTGGACAATACACAGGCCCACCTACCTGTGCGAACAAAGAAATTCCACTTGAAAGAAAGTGGGGGGCGGCGAGGATCGAACCCGGGACACTAGGCTCTGATACCACTGTTGGGAAATTCGTTGCCTCAAACTTCAATGTCAAGCGGGTCCAGGGGAAGCCTGTGGCGGGGAACCACCACCAATGAGCTAAGGCTACACCAATCGTAGCAAGTGGATCCGACACCATGTCTCAACCCAAAACCTTAAGGCATTGGGTTCATGGGTCCTTTCACTTATATACTCTTCACTTAGCTCATTACCAACCAATGTGGGACTCATCACACTTGAATATCTCAACAATCTCCCCCTCAAGTGTGAAACCCACCATTGGTATGCTCCCCCTCAACCGAGTACCCGAAGCGCAAAGTACTCGACCCGCCTCCTAGCCAATTTCCACTCCATTTATCCCTGCTGACTCAGCATACACATTCATCCTCTTATAAGTAAATGATTCTTCACGGGCACAAATATTTTTCCTCATATAAACTTTCCATTTAGGTGGCGGCATCTTATCAATACTCCCCTCCCCCCCAATAAACACACCTTGTCCTCGAGGTGGAAATCTAGAAATTATTGGTTGATAGTAGATGATTCCTCCCAGGTATTATAACAATCTGGCAATTGTGCCCATTTAATTAGAACTTCCACGGTCCTATGCAGTGTATGACGCCATTGGAGGACAGCTTCAGCAACGACCTTCAACTCCTAATCTTCTTGTAATGTCTCCGGAATAGGCTGGACCTATTAACCCAGTGCCACTACCTTTTTTAAATAGGACACATGAAAAACTGGATGTAAAGAGCAAGTTACATGCAGGTCTAATTTATTAGCTGTCTCACCAATCTTCTCCAACACTGTGTATAGACCATAGTATTGGGGACTTAATTTCTCATTGAAACATCGTGCCAAAGATTTCAACCTATAAGGTTGAATCTTCAAATACACCCTGTCCCCTTCCACAAATTGCACATCTCTCTTGTGTTTATCAGCTGCTTGTTTCATCCTGTTTTGGGCATTGCTCAGCTGATTTTGTAGCTCGAGCAAAATGGCATCCCGCTCACGCATCAAAACATCCACCTCTGCTACGGGAGACACGCAGCCTGCATGAAATAGAGTTGGAGGTTCACAGCCTTAAAGGGCATCATGCCAGAGGAGCTTTTATAATTGGTATTTATGTCAATATTCAGCCCAATGCACCCATAAATGCCACTTTCGCGGTTTAGGATGACAGAAACAACGCAAAAATGTCTCCAAACATTTGTTGACGATTTCTGTTTGTCCATTGATACGAGGGTGATAAGCGGTATTATACTTTAGTTGCGTGCCTGCCTGCTTAAATAGTATGGCTGAGAAAGACCCTATCCCGATCAAAAATTATAGACAAAGGGAAACCATGCAACTTTACCACATTCGTGATAAACTGAGTCGTGACATCTTGAGCTGTATAAGGATGAGACGGAGGCATAAAATGAGCATACTTGGATAATTGGTTCACCACAACAAAGATAGTATCTAAACCACCCGCCTTCGGCAATCCTCTAATGAAATCCATGCAAATGTCACCCCACACCTGCGTAGGAATTGGCAAAGGTTGAAGGAGACCCGCTGGTGATAGAGCCACAAATTTACTGGTTTGGCACACCCTACAAGCTGCAACATAATTTTTTCTATTCTCTTCATTCTTCTCCAGTACACCAAGCCAGCCAAACGTTTATATGTGTGCAAAAAGCCAGAATGACCTCCAATAGGTGAATCATGATATTCTTTCAGTAATAAGGGTATTAAAGAAGAACCTGAAGGAATAATAAAGCAGCCTTTGTATAGTAATTTTCCATTCACTAATGTATAATCTCCGAAATTTCCATCTCCTGTCAACAGACCCTAGATAATTTCTTTCAGAACTGGATGAACTTGTTGCTCCTGTTCTAGTTTGTCTAATAGAGGTAAGGCCACCGGAGACATCGCTGCAAATAAGATTTGATGGCACAATGCATCTGCCACTACATTTTCCTTCCCAGATGGTATTGCACCTCAAAATCGTAGACCAACAATTTGGAAATCCATTTTTGCTGATCTTCCCCTGATATTCTATGCTCCATAAGAAAACGTAAACTCCTTTAGTCAATGCGAACAATGAAGTGTCTGCCTAACAAATATGGTCTCCACTTTTGGATTGCAAACACTATAGCCATTAATTCCTTCTCATACAAAGATTTTCCTTGAGCTCTCAATAAAAATGCTTTACTTACAAATGCTAAAGGTCTACCTTCTTGCATGAGTACTGCATAATCCCTTTCCCCGAAGCATCTGTGACAACCATAAATGGCTTGTCGAAGTTGGGCAATGCTAATGTGGGTAATTCACACATCTTTTTCAAAATATCAAAAGATTGTTGGGCCTCCGCATTCCACTTGAATGCATTTTTATTAAGTAAATTTATTAATGGTTTGGCAATCTTACCATATCCCTCCATAAATCTCCTATAATACCCTGTCAGCCCAAGGAATCCACGCAACCCCTTGATAGTTTTATGTATTGGCCATTGTTGCACCGCTACAATCTTACTCGGATCTGCCTGAACCCCTTCCTAGTTATAATATGCCCCAAATATTCCACCTGGTATTGCCCAAAAGAGCATTTTTTTAGGTTGGCAAATAATTGATGTTCTTTCAGCACTCCAATACTGCACACTCATGTGCCAAGTGCAACTCCCTGTCATTACTGTAAATTAAAATGTCATAAAAAAATACCAATGCGAACTTACAAAGATAAGGCTTTAAAATCTCATTCATCAATGCTTGAAATGTGGATGGTGTGTTAGTCAAACCAAAAGGCATAACTAAATATTCACAGTGTCCCTCATGAGTGCGAAACGCAATTTTGGCAATATCTTCTTCCTTCATTCTAATTTGATTGTAGCCGGACTTCAGACTTAGTTTTGAGAACACTGCTGCCACATGATCCAATAACTCCTCAATTATCGGCATAGGGAATTTATCAGGGACAATGATTTTATTCAAAGCTCTATAGTTCACACACATACGTTAACTCCCATCTTTTTTCTTAACTAATATTGCTGGGCTTGAAAATGGACTTGTACTAGGTCGAACGAACCCTAATTGTAGCACTTGAATATAAAATAATATGTTGTGTATTAATTTGATACAAATAGTTACAATATATAGAGACCCTAATGGGCTTAAGTGAGTTGCCCAGAACTAATTACAAAGGAATAAGGAAGTAATCTAATCGTATCTAATCATATCTATTCTAACACTCCCCTTCAAGCTGGTGCGTATATATTGTGAGCACCAAGCTTGCTACAAATGAATTCAACCCGAGGACCTCTAAGAGCTTTAGTGAAGACATCTGCTAGTTGACCATTAGAGTTGACAAAAGCGGTCTTGATTTCTCCTGACTGAATCCTTTCTCGAATGAAGTGACAATCAATCTCTATATGTTTAGTTCTCTCATGAAATACAGGATTAGAGGATATATGTAGCGCAGCTTGATTATCACAAATGAGTGTCATGGGTTGTTTCTGTTCACAAAGTCGAAGCTCCTGAATCAACTGCTTTAACCAGATTAACTCACATGTAGTAACTTCCATTGCACGATATTCAGGTTCTGCACTAGATCGAGCAACAACAGGTTGTTTCTTGCTCTTCCAAGAAATTAAGTTTCCTCCAAAGAAGACACAATAGCCAGAAGTAGAGCGCTTGTCTGAGGGTGATCCTGCCCAATCAGCATCTGAATAACCACAAATTTCTGTATTTCCCTGATCTGAATACAACAAACCTTTTCCTGGTGCTCCTTTGATGTATCGGAGGATCCTCACAGCAGCATCCCAATGAGAATCACAAAGGGAATCAAGAAACTGACTAGTCGTACTAACAGCGAAAGAAATGTCTGGCCTAGTTACCGTAAGATAATTGAGCTTCCCAATTAGTCTCCGATAACGACAAGGATCAGATAACGGCTCCCCCTATCCGGGCAATAACTTGACATTAGGATCCATGGGTGTATCAATTGGTTTACACCACAACATACCAGTCTCTTCTAGGATATCCAAGGCATACTTCCTTTGACAGATAGAAATGCCCTGTCTAGATTGTG